AAAACTCCACACAGAGAGCACCCCCTGTCCAGAATTGAACCCAGGGCTCCAGCGTTTTGAGGCAGCAATGCTAACCACTGTGCCATCACGCCACCTAATTGAGCTCCAGGTAGTTGTAAAATACTGCAAGCACGAGGAAGGATCAAGCAGTAGAATTGACATATTACTAGACTCGTGTAGATTTCCTTTGTTTCTGTCCCAAACAGACACGTCCTTTCTTCAGAAGAATAAAGAAGCTTTTCAAAGGATCATGTGAAGAAGACATGATGAAGGAGCAGAATCTTTCTGAAGCCTATAAGACAGGAGATGGCGAAGGAATTTGATTTCAAGGGTTTAAAATCCTCAGGGGCATCCACAGGGTCAACTGTCAGATTGCTTCAGTCTGACCTCTGGATTAAGGACCCGGGCTCACATGTTTGTTGTGACTTATTCTCTGGGAGCTGGGTCAGTATCTTGTGTCAACTAGTTATTAGAATTCAAGGAAACAACATGGATTTCTGCCAAGAGAAGTTTTGTGCACAGACACGATGACTTTTATAATTGAAGTACATAACCAGCAGTGTCCTGATAAGTTATAATTTAGCAGTGAAAAGTAGAACTTCGGATATATTAATTTAAATTGAAAGATCCTTTTTTTTTTACCCACGTGAATGCATTGTCCCGAGATGAGTTTCACAGTGTGTTAATTAAGTGTCATTTCCAATCTACACAGTTGTCTAAACAAATGAAACCTTCTGATGTTTGCTGGCAGGCAGAAGATCTCTGCTTCTGCTGAAATGCGTCTTGAAGACTTCCCATCGCGAGGTTGCCCCGGGATAACTGCCGCTTGCCTTTGGAAGCCAGTGAGAAAGTCAAGCAGGTTCAGAACCGTCTCCCTTGTGGCTGTGCTCGACCTGAACACGCTTGTGTGGGGATTGCAGCTGCCACAGAGTGCCATCTGTCTCTGGAGGCAGCTAGAAAAGGAAGAGGGCTGGGGTCGCTTCTGCTGTCTTTTCTGCTTTAGAAGATGGAGCAGCTGTGGCAGCCAGTCTGTAACAGGGAGTCCCCTCTGTGCCAGGCTGCCGTTTCCCCCTTGTGTGCGGATAGCACAGTGCGGCAGTGTGCGTTTTAATCGGTAGCGCCCAGGGAGACAGGACAGACCTCTGAAATCGCCTGCTCTCAGTACCGTGCCTATTTTAACCGTGTATATGTGTTGCCAATGCTGTTCAACCCCATAGCAGAAACACGGGTGCCCGAACGATGAAATATTGTAACAAACCAATCCTGTTGTTCTTTGCTTTAAAAGATATAAACAGCATACTGGTACGGCAGTCGTTTTTATGTAACTAATGCATTATTCTGTGTTTTTTTTTTAATCCCTGGAAAGATTTAAAATTTAACTGCATATGCAGACCGATGATAAGATTTGGTACTGGGTGGTTACTTCACATGTAAAATATCTTCTGTGATGCCTCCCAACTTATATCACAGTTTGTCTTCTCTCTCTGGGTTTTATTGATACCACAATATTGCACCAATACACAGTAGGAGAATCTCGGGTGACCTCTGAGACTTTGTTTCCCACCAGGGGACACTGATCCCCTTGGAGGGGAAAATAACTGCTCTTCAAGAGTGGCAAGCACGCACGCAGTAATAACCACTGTGCCACCCCAGTTCAAGACAGTGTTGCATGATTTTGTAGCACTTTTCCCAATTGAACTGAAAACAACGAACTCACAGCAGACAGAGATACTGAATCGCTGACGTGTAATCTTGATTATTGTGTGCCTTCGTGTCCCCGAGGTTCGATGGTCACATGTGAAACAACTTTATCAATGTTTCTATAGGATGTGGAGGAAATAGTTGTTTATCTGCTATGAGACAACCATTTCTCTGCGTTTTGCATCAAGAGATAGTGTTGCTCTGAGCACCACCACGTGTTATGTATAGGACTTTCTGCAGAAATGAGCTTATATTACGTGATGATGGCCCCCTGAAACATTTCTGTTTCAACTGTGGTTTCATTCTGCGCATCAAATACTCCCAGCCCTAAGGATGCATACCCAACGAAGGGCCTAAAATGTCATTACTGTTGTGTGAAGGGCTGGTTTAGATGTGACTGTGTCTGTCACTTGTGCCTCTATTACTTGTTCAGCTGAGTAATTGCAGTTCTTCTTAAGCTGCTGAGCTCTATTTCCAAAGGCAGTGCTGGTGATTCTCAGCTAAGATCACTCCTCATGCCTGCTTAATTAAATTCAGCGGCGTGCCAGACCCTGATGTACTAGAATGACTTGCTCTTAGCTCTTGTTCTTGCTCAAACTCTAAGAAGTGGAACTAGACTTGCTAATTGTGAAGGTTTTGCTGGAAAAATGACAATATTCAAGGAGACCATAAACCTCTCCACTCTTGTCCAAAGATCAACAGAGGATGAATAACCTTGCTCTCTGTAGTCTGCCAAGCTTCTTGTGTAATTTCTAGATCACGTGCAACATTTTAGTGCATACTGTCATTTTTGGCCTGCTCGTCTTGCGTGAGCAAACATGATTTTCGTGAGAAGGGCTGACTCAATCTATCATATGTGACGGTTATTTCCATGTGTAGTGGAATGGGGCTGCAAGACACGAAAATTGTCATGTTTCAAATCGACATCGATCGTCAATTTCACTGAAGCCTTGTCCCATCATACACTGCCAGATATTCCTGTAGATGGCGTTTCCTTTTTTCCCCCAATTATTCAAACTCCTTATTGGTGCTTTAAAGCCATCTTATTATTACCAGTTTTCTTACAGTTGTGTCTGTGGGGAGATGTGGGATCTGTTCAAGTCGGTGGTTTGAACAGAAACACCCATGGGTTTGCAAACAGAAATGTGCTTGCGGAACAGTTAGAGCTCTGGCTCGGCTCGGGTTTCTGTGTGTGGATAAGCTGTGGATGGCTTCCGTACTGACCTCCGTAGCAGATTAAAGAGTTGGGTTTCAGGAGAGCTTGTGAGTCAGAGCAATAAACTTAGTTATGGGTTAGCATGGAACTTTTGATTTTATAACCATCCAAAATAAACACTTGGTCTGTCTGTAAAAGATGTCTTTGATATGTCTGATCATGACATGGCTTTCCCTGGTTTTTAATTTTGGACTATAGCTTGTATTTTGTACTATGCCTTTACTTTATCTTCCCCCAGACAAGAGAGAGATTTTTCTTAGTGAAAATATTTGATAGCGGTTGTGCTCATGTTTTTACACACAAGCTACAGAATTAGCCCATTTTGTCAGATTCAGAAGGATGGGTAAAGGTGGAGCATTGTGCTTAATGTGAGTACCTACAAACTCCTCAAATTGACCCCTTACATTTTTTTTTGCAGTTTGACGCTTTAATGTAACTCATACATAGTTATGCAAACTCAGTGTTGTGTTTGAAAAAGTGACTAATTTGTAGAAGTTCAAGATATTTTGTAAAGGTGAAAAGTATTGTGCCACACATTCAATTGTGTGTGACTGATACTGAAGTGGAGTTTGTCTGTGGAAGGAGGAAGTGAGTAGGTTAGGGTTTGTGATTGCTGACTGAGTTACAAGTAAACTGAAGACTTGGGTATCATTTTAAGATTCTCGTTTGTAAACCATTTGCTTTAAAAAATTTGGTGGATTTACTTTTTGGAAATTTGCTAGGGGCAAGGCGAGTTCATATGGCCCGCGCAATTTAAGATCCTGCCAGGATCTGGGTACTGAAGGCTATTGACAGGCCGGAAGTGGGTTGATTGATGGCAGATTAATAAGCAGTTTGGGAAGGAAAGAATCCAGCCTCAGCACGCACTAATAGGTACAGTGAGAGGTTATAGCTCTTCATACATCGGTCACAGCTTTTACAAAACCGACTTCCAACATAACATCCAGAAAAATGTTGGCCATTTTTAAATGTTTGTATTTTGTACCTGAATGCACTGAAAGTGCAGCAGTCCTTAAGTGTTAGAAGTGTACTCCTGAGAGCTGGTCCTAATTTTAACATTTTTGCACATTGTTTTCCCATGAATCATGTTTGCTCTGAAATTCTAAACGGAACAAATGCAGTGACCCGATGCAACCTGATTTCACCAGAGAGCTGTAAACGTGTATCACTCCCAGTGACCTACTCCACGGCTTTGCTTGATCTAGTGCATAATCACAAAAGTTGATCTTCTCTTTCTTTGTAGTTAGCGCTAATCGGTTCCCCCATACTTCCTGGCGGGAGCACACAGCTGAGGTATTGGCACTCCATCCCAAACATAGAAAACATCACTGAGGGGTGTGAAGGGTACCAGTTCGTAATCAAAAAGATTGGATTATAGCTACAGTGTTTAAAGGTTTTAGTAGCAGATCCTATTAATCAATTAGAGAAAAGAACAGATCACTTTAATCATTTTATTGAAAGAAAAAGGCTCAGCTGTGAAGAAAGAATACTGCAATACAAAGTTCCCTCTCCCGACACGAATGTGATTTTAGATTGAAAATATATATATTATAGGTAGAATATTATGGACAGTTTAAAAGCAGCAGGTGCTTTTTAACAAACCCGGCTTTGGTGATGCAAGGTGCTTTGCCTCGTGCCTTGGTCAGCTTCCTGTAGTACCGTACCTGGAATTAACCCGCACCTGTGCCAGCCCAATCATTAAAGTGCCTGCTTGTAATGTTTGCACTGCCCTTTGGAACTGAAGTTGGCCTGTGAGGTATTACAACATTCCAGCGGAGTCTCTCGAGCGTGGAGCTGAAAACTGTTGTCCTTACTTTTAAACCTTTGCACTGCGACAGGACAAGTGCCCAGTCCAACCACGCATTCTCTGTCCTGCGGTTTCTCTTATCTTTCCTCCTTTGCCTTTAGTCTGCAGTGATACAGATAAATATTGACTGTGTTGTAATCATTAGTGTATTGTTAACGTCTAAAAGGACTTAATGAGCAATAGCCTTCAGTAGCTGTCAGGTTACCATTAAGCACTCACCTTTTCACATTTTCGTTGAGCCTTCTGGTCATATTTAATTCTCTTTCCTTTTCGCAGATGGACCATATGGAATCTTTGCTGGAAGAGATGCGTCTAGGGGCCTGGCGACCTTCTGTTTGGATAAAGAAGCCCTGCGGGACGAGTATGACGACCTGTCTGATCTCAATGCTGTACAGATGGAGAGTGTAAGAGAATGGGAGATGCAGTTTTTGGGTAAGACGACTTGCACATTTCAAGGAGCAGTGAAGAAATGTTGCATGTACACTGGGCATCAAAAGAAGTCCATTGTAACTGCAGTTAATACAGCTAGCAGAACTGTGATTTTTCTGGCATTTTCTTTTGCGCTGACATTTTATCGAACCGACACGAAGCAGGTAAATTTAATCTGCCGATTGACATTTCTCATCAACGGGGATGATCAGTGGAGCTGGGCTGCTGTGAAGGTCCCAGTCTTCGAGCAGGTGTTGCCAACTTTGGTAGCAAGATAGGCTGTACCTCCCTGACGGCACACTTTGCACCAGTTCGCAGTGTTGTTTTATGAGATTCTGTCCCGTTCCTCTCGTTGAGCCTGAACTCTAAGCCCTAGATGTCAGATGTCATCCCATTTTATCCCACAAAATGTCCAGTGATGCTCAGCTGTGGTGAGTAGGGCATCCATGGCACAGCTATCTCAAGTTTCAGTGTCAGGAAAGCTGTTGTAGCACGAGCAGCATGAGGATCCGTGCAGTCGTGCTGGAATGCTGTCGTGTCACGAGGAGCCCTAAGGATGGTCATCAAGTGCGGTACCAGGGCTTGAACAGTGTAGCACCGTGCAGGTCCATGTGCCACTAGACCCTCGCACTTGGGTCTTTCCATCAGTTGTTCTGCTGAAAATAAGGGTTAGATATAATTCTGCACGTCACATGACGTTCTTAAGAAAAGAGGACTTCAGAATGACTCCACTTCTGGTGAGTCTACATGAAGTGTTGTTCCAGTCCAACTTAAAAGGTCTGCATGTTGGTTACTTCCTGTGGTTTTCTTTCTTGAATTTTCACCAGGCTTTTAAGATTCTTAAAAATAGATTTCTGGATATTTTTCAACTCGGATAATTAGAAGAGTCCAGATATAATGAGAAGTGCCGACGACCCTCGGATTAGAGTTAGCTTTCCCACATTAGAGTTTTGTCTGCATTATGGCTATATATTTTAGAATCTATTTGAAATGTAGAATGAGTGACACTTTGATCCAATCTTTATTTTTCCAGATCCAGATGCCTAATACATTGTATTACTCCTAAAAGTAAGGACAGGGTAAAATGCAGTCAAATCAGAAGATTGAAAAAAGGCTCTTTTAAGTTTAATTACCACTGCTGGAAAGTCTTATGTCAGATGTTGCTCCAATCAGTCACTGACATGAAAGCATTGTCCTCGCATATTGTTTACTGCTTGTTTTTTTTCTTGATTTTCACCAGGCTTGAGATTCAACAAGTTAAATCACCCTGTCACCTGTTCCTAATTAACTCTCACTAATGAAGTTATTTTATTGCTAATGAAAGGCAGTGTCAGGAAGGCAGACTGTTTTTTGAAAGAACCTGTGATCATGGTCAGACATAAGTGATCAGTTAATAAATATGACACCAAATTTAATCAATATCAAAAATCCACAAACGTTTTGTCTAAAAATGTATCTATAGGTAGTGGTACTCCTTTTGATGCTCAGTGTTTTTTAAAAGTTAGTCAGCAGTTAAGCATATGCCTTAGTGTGCAAACTTTAGTTGAATGTTTCTGCAGATATATTTATATCTCAGTAATCTGATGCCTTATCTTGGTTGTGTCTCTGCAATCGTTATTATTAATAGTATTATTGAACCTTGCACACATTGTAATAAGAGATTGTGCAACAAACTTCAGGATACTAGATAGTGAAAACCATTAAAAGGTAACAGATGAGTGCTGTGAAGAAGATTATATAACGGAAAAGATCCCCCTTTTCTGTTAGGTTACAAGCTGAAAGGTTTAGCAAATACTGGCAAGCCTGGATTGGGTTTGTGGTCCCACTGAGACCTGATTTTGTTCTGTGAAAGAGGACAAAATCATAGTGAGTGTGGATTATTTGTTGTTTGTTGTGTTTTTGCTTGTGTTTCCATTTTTAATCACCCATCTATGCTGGCATAATGTAAATAATTATATTAAGAAACAAAACATAATTGGGAAAAATTATTGATGAAAGCAGTAAGTTGTTTTATTTTGTGCATGTCCTACCGGTAAATCTTTTCATCGTTGAATAAAAAGTTTTCAGAAATGTTAAAAGGTTAAAAAAAATGCATACGAGAAGCAGACTGATATAGGAGATGGGGTGTAATTTCACCGAAGAAAGGAAATTTGTATAGTTTCATATATATATACTATATAGTTTGTATAGTTAGAATTTGTATAGTCTGTGTTTACTGCATAGCAACTTCAATTCAGTCTTTCCTGGAGGCTCCCTGGCCTGTCTTGGGTCACGCCAGCACTAGGAATATCCAACAATCCCCTGTCAGTTTCCTCACCCTTTCCCTCGACTTCCAACAAAGCACTTGCTTTGTGTTTCAGAAAAGTATGATTACGTGGGCCGGCTCCTTAAACCAGGGGACGAGCCGTCGGAGTACACGGACGAGGAGGACATCAAGGATCACGTGAGACACGACTGAACTGTTCGCTCAACCAAAGCCAGGGCCCAGAGAGCTGCACCCGCGCCACCCGGCCCGGACCGCGCCGGTTCTGTGACCTCTCTCGGCAGTGGAGCCACTTCCCATCTGTACAGATTAAAAAAACAACAACAACAGCAGCAAGGATGTGTACTCCTTTTGGGGATTTTAATTATTCATCATGTCTGGTTTGTGCTGCCAACATTTGTTTTCTTTTTTTTTTTTGGTTGTTTTTGTGTTTTGTTTTGTTCTTCTCGTCACCGTTGTAATGTCGGCGAAGGGTGGTCGTTTTGATCTGGGGAACCGGGGGGTACGCGTCGGGGAGGGGTGCCAAGAAGGGGCAGTTTGTGCATTTTCGTCGTTGCAACTTCACCGCCGATCAGCTTCTTGCTTTCCTTCGTTCGCTTCTTAAGCATTATGGGTCTAGGTGAGCAGTGGGGAGTCCAAAGGGGAAATATGTCGTTGGTTTCTCTTTTTACCACTGTCTTCGTAGTTTTTGCACTACTAGATTTTCAGTTTGTCATCATGTGATTGTACAGTGGGGTTTAGTGGTCTTTGCCGTTGAACCGTGTCGAATCACTAAAGCTGAATCTCTGATCGAAAAGGGAAGGTCACTGGTTTGGCTTCATTTTAGAGGAGTGTCTAGCAATTTGCCAGTGAAATTTCACCAACTATGTTTACATGCCACAGAAGTCAGCTGTAAGTCTGTATTCCCCAAATGGTTAATATTAATTGTGCCTTATTTCAGTTGTTTTGTACTTAAACTTGAACTGTTTGAAAGACGAAAAAGAAGATAAAAGGCTGCCCCATTGAAGTTTTGTGGAAAAAAATGTCACTTCCGATCTAAATCACATCAGACTGAAGGCATGCACTCGTTGGTCTAAGAAAACGACGACTAACAGTCCTTTCCTACGTCACAACCATGTATATAGACTTTAAAAAGTATATTCAGTGTTACTGCCATATTTATGTAGTTGACAAAATCCATATACTACTGTGTTGTAATGGCCAAAAGCCCCATGCTTTATTCTATTTTTTTTGTGGAAGCTCTTTTAAAGTGTGGGGGGATATACAGTACAAGAAATAACGTGCAAGCAAAGTGATGGGTAGGTTAAATGTGGGAGGGAAACCGCAGAACCTGTAAATATATGTATCATTTTATTAAAGCATGTACACGAGAAGTGAGCTACGCTGAATTCAGACTTCTTGTAGTGATGTAGGGTGTGTGCGCGGCAGAGAAAAGATGGACATGTTCATGCATAATAAACAATTTGGTTATAAACTGATTTTTGTGAGTTTTCTTTCGAAATTAAACTGACAGAGGGAAGGAGTGGGGAGGGGATGGTTCTGTCTTCTTCTACTTCTGTGGACAATGCACCATAATCCAGGCTGATTCTGGTGCTACTACAGGTCATCATCTGAGGATATGTCTTTGGCTTTACCTCTGAACACATCTCCTCAGTGCTGTGCATGAGCCTATTTCCATTAATAATATGTGACATTGACTTTTCTCCGTGGAACGCCCCCACCAATTTGGAACCTCAGTCGACTGGACCTAACTATGGTGGGTAGCTGCGTAAGGCTGCAAAGGAACAAGTAATAGGTTTATTTCATGATGGAAAAAAAGAAGACAGAAAACACGTTTCGGCTGTGGAGCCTTCTTCAGGTGTGGACCTAACTATGCTATCCTTGTACATCCTCGAGGTACACTTATGAAAGGAGTCCCACGTCACTTACAGTAGTTCTGTAGCTTTTGCTGGCAGCACTGTAAGATGATACATGCCCTACAGCCAAGCTTGTCATGACTACAGACCCCTGACCAATTCCTAGCCCACCCATCCCTGCAGGGCTTGGCCAATAGCACGTGGCCATGAGGAGAGCTAGCAATGATTGGCTAATGATTTAGCTCAGGCTTTGCACTCCAGAGAAAATCCTGCTTACTTTGTGCCCAATTTTAGAGCTCTTGCCTTTTTTTGGTCAGCCTCACTGCAGCATTGTGTGATAGTTTGCCAAGGGGGTGTTATTTAATTTATTCTGTTAATATTCTGTTTACATCATGGAAATTGCCTTAACCTTATGTTGAATTGTTTATATGAGCTACAAAAATGGCTACTTCAGCAAACATAATTTCTTAGTTTTCCCATGGTGCTTAATAAGTAACCAAGCAGTGACTGTAGATCCAGTTGTAATGCTTATATTTTAAGTTTTTTAAAATAACATTGTAACTTGTTAACCTCTGCATCTCTCTGGGAGAATAAGGACCCGGGTGTCTACTCCTCTGATGTGCTTTTTCTATGTTGTGAGATCCTGGCTGAAGCCAGGATCTCACAACAGGTGTGGACCTAACTATGCTATCCTTGTACATCCTCGAGGTACACATCCAGTTGTGTGAGAGTTCACAGTTCACATCCAGTTCATAATCATTTCTTAGACTTACTGTATATAGTGCTTTTCTGGACACTCCATTTAAAGTGCTTTACAGGTAATGGGGACTCTCCTCCACCATTAATGTGCAACACCCACTTGGATGATGTGACGGCAGCCAGAGTGCGCCAGAAGGCTCACCACACATCAGCTCTCAGTGAGGAGAACAGTAATGAAGTCACTTCAAAGATGGGGATTATTAGGAGCCCATGACTGGTAAAGGCCAATGGGAAATTTGACCAAGATGCTAGGGTACTAGCACCCCTAAGCTTTTCAAAAAACACCCTGGGATTTTTAATGACCAGAGAGTCAGGACCCTGGTTTTATGTCTCATCTGACTGATGGCATTTTTTTACAGTATCTCCATCACCATACTGGGGCATTACAACCCACACATACCACAGGGTGAGCGCCCCCTGCTGGCCCCTCTAACATCTCTTCCAGCACCAACCTTAGTTTTTCCCAAGAGGTCTCTCATCCAGGTACTGGTCAGGCCCACATCTGCTGAGCTTCAGTGGGCTGCCAGTTGTGAGTTGCAGGGTGATAGAAAGCTGAGTGCTGCCTTTTCTTTTTAACCTGTATTACAGCCGGCTAATGGCATCATTTAGGCTTCAATAAACAATGCCAGGTTTAGTCATTTGGGAGCTCCTTAAAGGAACTGGTGAATTTGGTCATGTAACCAGTCTCTTCCAAAAGTGGTTAAGCTAATACGGTTGATTTTTTTCCACACTGGAGAGATGAAGGGTAGGCACATGCCCTGGCACTATTTTAAGTCAAACTGTGGCAGTCACCTTGGAGAAATTTAACTTGAAAGGGTTGTGAGAATCTGGAACAGGAAACCCAGCCATGTTGTTTAAGCTGATAACCTGTTAGTGTTTTTCCACAAACCCCTGGGTGGGAATGGGCCAAAAGGCCTCCTCCTGTTTGTAATATTTATTCTGATTTTCTTTCCACAGTACATGTTGCAGTGCATGAAGCAAGCGTTTAGAACTCTTACACCTGGCTTGGTGACTGAGGATATATATAGGCCAGCCATATTCGGTGTGGCAGTAGAAGAAAACGAGAACAATCTGCACTATATAAGCAGGCTGGCCATTCCCTCTGTGCCAGAATGTACTTGAGTGCCACTTTTCATTTATCAATATCTTTTTTCAGTCATTTGTTACTGTATAATTCAGGTGGCTTAAGAAGGAATCAAACAAAGCAATCCATGCTGAAGTATTCGGTCTCAAAACATTACTTCAGGATATCAGTTTCCTATTTGCCATTCCTAAAAAAATGGCTAAATTAATTTCTCAGTGCTTATCTACTCTGTAACAATAGAGCTGGTGTTCCAGCATTGAAACAAAGCTTGGGTGTTACCTTTCCAGGTTTGGTGCCAGTTGCAGCAGCTTTTCTTTTTTCTCCCTGCACTGCTATCAAGCTGTTTGTCCTTTACTAATGTTTACCTCCCTGCTTTGTGGTTTTGCTTCCTGTGGTAGAAGGCATTTACAGCCTTCTAACCCACTGAACGCGGCAGGAAGCTGCTGAGTGAAAAGCTACGAGCACAAGCTCCTATGCTGGGCCAGTGGGCATCAGTAGAGAGTACCTCTCTCCCCGGGGGAAAGCTGAGAACTTGTCAGTAATTTGACTGACTCATCTACAGGTTGGTACAGTGGCGTAGTGGTTAGCACTGGGGCCCTGGGTTCAATTCTGGATCTGAGCTGCTATCTGTGTGGAGTTTGTATATTCTCCCAATTAGAAAATGGATCGCTGGAAGTCTATTAAGGTGCCATCTACAGTGGATATAAAAAGTCTACACACCCTTATTGAAATTGCAGATTTTTGTGATGTAAAGCCAGAAATCAAGATAAATCATGTCAGACATGTTTCCATCTTTAATGTGCCCTTGCAACCAACAAAATTAAAGAGAAAAAAACATAGCTATTAGGAAAAATAATTGAAATTAAAAAACCTACAACTCCATGGTTGCATAACTGTGCACACCCACCCAACTAATACTTTGTGGAAGCACCTTTTGCATTTATTACAGCAGTTAGTCTTTGTGAATAAGTCTCTATCAACTTTGCACACCTGGACTTTGCAATTTTATCCCACTCTTCCTTGCAAAAAAGTTAAAGCTCCAAATTGCCTGGGGATCTCCTGTGCACAGCCCTCCTTAGGTTATTCCACAGGTTTTCTATGGGATTGAGGTCTGGGCTCTGACTGGGCCATTCCAAGACTTTGATCTTTCTTTTCTGAAGCCATTCCTTGGTTGACTTGGATGTGTATTTTGGGTCGTTATCACGTTGGAAAGTGAAATTCCTCTTCATCTTCCTGACAGAGGCCAGCAGGTTTTGTGCCAAAATATCTTGATATTTGGAGCCAGTCATTATACCATCTATCTTGACTCCAGCCCATTGTACCTGCTGAAGAGAAGCAGCCCAAAAGCATGGTGCTGCCACCATGCTTCATAGTAGGTATGGTGGTCTTTGGATGATGAGCTGTGTTGTCTTTGCTCCAAACATATCTTTTAGAATTAAGGCCAAAAAGTTCAACCTTTGTCTCATCAGGCCATAAGACTTTTTCCCACATGGTTTGGGGAGATTCAATGTTTTTTTTGCAAAATTTAGATGGGCTTGGGTGTTTTTTTGTGTGAGAAATGGCCTCCATCTTGCCACCCCATAGCCCAGATGTGCAAAATACAGGAGATTGTTGTCACATGAAAGGAGTGACCAGTACCTGCCAGAAATTCCTGCAGCTCTTTTAATGTTGCTGTAGGCCTCTTGGTAGCCTCTCTGATATGTTTTCTCCTTGTCCTGTCATCAACTTTGGAGGGTTGTCCTGATCTTAGCAATGTTCCTGTGGTGCCACATTTTCTCCACTTATTGATCATTCACAGTGCTCCATGGTACATCCAATGCCTTTGATATTCATTTATACCCCTCTCCTGATCCGTACCTCTCAACAATAAGATCCCGTAGATGTTTGGTCAGCTCCATGGCTATCCCAGTAGGATGCAACTGCGAAAGTGTCAAGGAAATCCAATAGGAACAGCTGATTTTTATCTGGGGTTCATTAGAATCACTTTCATTGATGGCAGGTGTATGCTACTTACTTTTGGACATGATTTTGAATGTGATTGGTTACCTCTGAACACAGCTACAGCCCCCATTATGAAAGGGTGTGCACACTTATGCAACCAGGGTGTTGTAGGGTTTTTAATTTCAATTTTTCCTAATAATGACCTATTTGCTTTTCTCTTGAATTTTGTTGGTTGCAAGGCCACATTAAAGATGGAAAAATGTCTGACATGATTTATCTTGATTTCTGGCTTTACAAAAACCTGCAATTTCAATAAGGGTGTGTAGACTTTTTATATCCCCTGGATAGTCTATAAATGGCACTTCTCCCTGAGATCCATATATCATTTAACTATTTTATCCAATACAGGGTTACAGGTGAGCAAGCAAGAGGCACAGGGCAGGATATACCCTGGACAGGATGGTAGTCTGTCACAGGGCACACACACACAAACATGTACACAATCACACTAGGGATCATTTTCCCACATGCTATTAATGTACCAGTATGTCTTTGGACCGGAGAAAACCAGAACACAGGAAGAACATATGAATCGCTTAAATTAATCATGATGAGCAGTTCTCTGAAAGATTTAACAAGCTAAGCCAAGGATGCTTTCTGCCATGTGCATTAAATATAATCAAATCTTCAGAAGTAGCAAAAGAAGCTGCTGGTCTCCTCAGTTTGTCTTAAAGTAAAACTACTGCCAAGGTTTTGATCTGCATGAAAAAAAAAGAGTTCCTTTACGGACCATAACCAACCTGAACATCAGAAATGTGTCCCGAATCGGACTACAATCTTCAATGCAGTCTGGCTTGGGTTTTTTTCCACTTGACAAAATTGGTTCTGCACTTTCCCCTAATAAAATGGAGATGGAGGGTAAAGATATAAATATAAATGAAACAGTGAAAAATAAACACAGATAAATACTTCATATAAATTTGTTCCCTAATACATTTTCCTGGGTTCTTCACAACATCTTTAGAACCAGATGAAGTTAAATGAAAACAAACAAAAGGTTATAAAAAAGGCAAAGTTACATAGTTGTTAAGTAGATGGATGGTGAAGGTGAGCAAAAGTTAAGGTAGTTAAACTAGAAAGATATTACCTTGATAGTCAGCTAGAAAGCTTCAAAGACCCCTTGGATAACACTGGATTTTGATCACTTTCTATTTCCATGCAAAACGATCATACCAGAACCTGTTTCCTCATATGCAAGTCTCACATTGATTTTTTTTTTAGGTGTATAAATAGACCGCCTCTTAGAAGCTGCTACTTTGTAAATTAATTGAAACAGCCCCCCTCAAAATTGCTGGAAATTGTCATTTTTAACTCCTAGAAAAACTCAATCCAGTAGATCATGTAGGTCACCATTTAATAAACAATTGCTAAAGTTCTGGAACACTAACTGTTTAATTAAACAAGTGATTTAAATTACTTTTCAACCCTGGATAGCAGACTTAAACTGCATGCTTAATCCATCAGTAACTTAACTGTTTTCCCGGTCGCTGTTCAAGAGCTGGAGATTTCTGGCAGCCTGTAAGACTGGCTGAACAGAGTTCTCCAGGGCCAGCACTGGAGATCCCTGCTTTAGGCGGAGATGCTCCTTCCACAACGTTTAAATGACAGAATGGGGCTGCATCCACAGGGGTTCAGTAATCCAAACTAGGATGGCACATCCAGAGACCAGCCGGAGATCTAGACGTGGGTTTCAAAAATAGCAGCTGGAAAGTGACAGGAAGATTAGCACTCGGCAGTGCTCTAATTTGGACGTTCATATTCTCAGATTAAAAATAGTATATGCCCGAAGGGACACCAGGCCCAAAACATCTCAAAATTAAACATGAAAATTGCCCCTTCCTTCGAACTTCAACACAGTAAATGGGGTCTTAGTGAGCTAAAGGTTATATTAAAGAGAACAATAAAATAGAGAGTAGTCTAAGTGGCAAGACTTAAAATCATGTATGCTGTGCACTGCATATGGCTTGATTTAAAAGTACAGGATTTAAGTTTTCCCATCTTTCCCATTATCTTCCTTAGTTTAAATGAATGGTAACAGACGTTTTTTTTACTGAAAAATGTTACACAAACTGCAAGATTTGGAATGTCTGGTAAAGCATATTATGTGGTTCAATGCTATGGCTTTCAATATTTACCATGCAAAAAATTGCTCTGTTGACATCTTAAAACTGCATTTTTCTTTCACAGGTAGCAAATGCAGAGTAAATGTTATTAAGAAACTGAATCTCTATCACAGAAACCTTGCTTCTGTTTCACTAAGGGGTACTCTATTTCACTTAACACTGTAGGAGCCTCTGAAACAGTCAAGTTAATATTCCAGCTGGACTGAAACCCTGCCGACACAGCAACCCCCCAGGAGCAGGACTGGGGACTGCTGGAATAAACTCTGCTTCTCTTTCTGTGGTATTACTGCTACAAGAAAAGATCAGTGGAAAAGGACAGATGAGTGTGGAGAAAATGAAACGTTACACAGGGAATGGCTTTTTACAATTGATTTTGTTGTTTTTATAGGCATTTTTATAAAACTGAACAGAAGAAAATTACCACAAATTAGCACACACGCAAAAGATAAATGGGCACACATTTCATTCAACAAAAAGATGAGTAAATACTGATTACTTGTATATACAGTCTTCAATCCAAATATTGTACAATTGCGCCTTCACCTGGAGGTTGACTGATACATATGGCCGATATGTAATTATACTAGAGACAATGAAATCCTGTTTGGATGACACTGGAAATATAACTTAAGTACTGCAGAAACTTTGCTATTACAAACATTAGCTACCATCCAGACTCAATTAAGTCTACCCAAAGCACTCAATTGGGTAGACATTAAAGCAACACCAAGGTTAAAATACAACCTCCAGTGACCATGATTTTAAATATAGACTCAATTTCAAGATTAATCCACTATGAACAGAAAGAAAAAAGTTAAATCATGTCATCAAAAAAAAAAATTTAAAGAAATTCCCCACCCAAAATACCCCAGCTAAGATCCTTTACAGCGATAAAAAAAAAATCTGTTCTGCATGCCTACAGAGACATTCTAGGCATTAAATTAATGTAGACTAAGGCTATATCCTCAAATTTTCTTCAAACCTGAGGATAATTTATTTCAGCCCCTGCTGTGGTATACACATTAAGTAGCAGTGCAATTGTTTATTAGCGATTCCAGAGGAAAAATAAAACTATTAGTCTTCAAAGATGTTCATTTAGCTTTCATCTTCTTCCCTGCAAAATCCCTTACTAAAACCTTCAAAATGTAACCATTCGATAAGACCTTTTATTACAATTTCCACAAAAATGCAACCACTGCCAACCTCTTCATGTCCACTACATGACACAAACCAGCACTGGGTTCACGTCCCATTTGTTAACACTTGTTCACTTCAAGCAAGAGACCCGATTTCCCTCTACTGTAGCCAAATCTGATATAATTTGATATTCTTAACAACAGGCGCAAATAAAAACAAAAGCATTAAATGCTGTAAATGGACTCCAAACTCAGTCTTCTTTAAGAAGTAAGAAATCCTTATTGAAACGTAAGGCATCCCAAATTTGTTTTTTTTTTTTTGCATACAATGCAGGAATGCATTTTTGTAAACGTCTTTAGCCCAAGAAAATCATGTGAATGTTAATTCCCTGATTCTTATTTTCTAGATCCCCATAACAAGGAAACTTGACAGAAAATCAAACAGGATCTTGAGTTATGTTGGACAAGACTTGAGTGAAACATTCCAAGGTGACTACAAGAATTTGTTTTGGCATGACCCCTCAAGACATCCTTGAGCTGAAAATACTGGTACAATTTCTTGACTATTTTCTCACAGAAACGGGTATCACAGAAGTTTGTGAAGTGTTTTTATTTGTCAGTTGTCTCGGCGTCTTTGGCTTTGCCGGCCCCCATCTGGGCTCTCTTCCCATCCAGGGTGCTGGGCAGTCCCGCACTGTCTTTGGGTGCATGCTGGGAAGAGGCGGTAGTGCCAGGGGCCGGTGGCTGGTTAGAGGGAGTGGGTTTAGCAGCACTGACTGGCTTCGAGGAGGAGTTGGAAGGATGTCTCCGGCGTCCCCCTTCCTCCCCCGTTGATGATGAGTGACGTCTCCTTCGGCCCACCTCCTCACCCATCGGGGGCTGTGAGGAGCAAAGTGGCAGACCAATGAGACACAGGATCACTCTCCCGACTCCCCCACTCACAGAATGACCTCCAGACACATCTCTCGGCGAGAAACAGCTCGGATTCTTTAAGTTGCCCAAGCCAGTATCTGAATGATTGTTTGGCAATACAATAATAAGATATTTCTATATAGTTTCTAAATAAAATAAAGCCACAGGCTTTTAGCATATTGTAATTCCTGTTATCAAGAAAAATCAACATACCATGCCAGTTCTCAGTGAAGAACAAACAAGGTGTGTATGCTTTAGAAAAAAAACATGGGAAAAAAAAGGCAAGTGCCTGATCAAACACTCACGTCCACCCTGAAGTCCTCGAGCCGCTTGAACTTGCTCAGATGCTTCTGCAGCTTGGGGTCGATGCTTTGGTTCTTGGTCTGAGAGTATTTCAAGAAGGCCCAAAACTTCTCCAGACCATACAACTGTCCTGTGAAAATATACCAGCAACATGACACTTTCACGATCTTCTCCTGCTATTTCCACAGTAGAAACAAAACTACAACAGCAAATCATGATTGCTATGTCTAAACATCAATTTGGAAATCGTCAGCCGATGTTCATCCCAACACTAAATGATAGATCTCCAATGAGCAGAAATCATTTGGGGGCTATTTGATCTTACCCACAGAGCATTCATACTGCTTATTTGTTGCTCTCAGGTAGTGAAAGAGCAGATCCTCACAAGACAGGGACTGTTGCACAAGCCCTGTCATTAACACTGATGCAACATTACATTTCTGCTCTCGTGTCTGCAGAAAATAAAGTGAGGCTCATATTATCAAGGCTGTTTTTTCCCCATCACAAAAATGCACCTGATCTGTAGTGGAATAAGACAAGAATCTCTCACATTTCTTTTAGTTAGGAAAGAAATGTACAGTTCTGACTATAATCACAATTGAGAGTTTCATTTAAAATGTATTGACAATAAAAAACACACAACAAACCGGCACAAAACTAAGTGATGTTTGAGAATAGTGAAAATTCAGGGGCATTACATGCCACAACAAGAAATACGACGAACCTGTTTCATAATCCCTGAGAGTTTCTTCCTGGAAGTCCTTAAAGATATCTGGACGGAATCTCTTCTCCAAGCCATAGCTGTAGAAGCGGAAGAGACACTCCAGTCCGTACCTTTGGGAGCACATACAGTATAAGACACAGAGAAGGAATGGGAGGAACCGTAAGAAGTTCTGAAAATAACAAAGGTGCTTTAAAAAGTCCTTGAGTGGGAAAAAAAGACTTGAAAAGAAATAAGAATATCAATAATTCAGTAGAACAATCAAAAAGGTCAGAAATCGCTTTTCAATTTGAGGTACTGGGCCGTTGCAAAAATACACAAATTAAGTCAAACGACTGTACAAATGCATACTAAGTCTGGGTGATAAGTACAGAAACATTTTCTAACTGATTTTCATGTTAAGCCTCATCTGTCCAGATCTGAACAAAACAAAAACAGAAAAAAAACTGGTAAGAGAGCAAATCAAACCAGGATCTTAACATTCAGTCTCTCTCTCTCTCGTGGCACACTCAGGCATCCCATCATTCCTGTCAAGCTGCTTGGAGAGCATTCCTTCATTTTCCCTAATACACGCTCAAGAGGCGAAACAGTTTCCACTACAGAGGTGCCTGGTGATTCCTGGAATGCTTCTATACCCCAGGGACTCTCAAATTACAGAGCATTGCATTTTAAGGAAATGTAGGTGCACATCACCACATTCCTTAAGGTTCACTGGTGAGGCAAGTCTTTCAATTCAGGGGTTAGCAGCTAGCTTTAGTAAAAGAATTGAAAAATTAACCTGAATAGACAACTTTAAACTCCAAGCATGACTTCTGCAGTCATAAATCCATTTATCCTACAGTAGTAGTGACAAAAAGTGTATAAAGCCTTTACTTGCCTTCCAGAAAGCACATTCCAGCTTAATATTCGATATGTGCGACAGACAACTAGAATACTTAGAGCTGGAAATACTCTGAGGCACTAAACAAATTAGTATTTAAACCAAGAGCATTTGTTAGTTGTATTAATGCCGCTTACAGTATATTATGGGGTCTGCAGTTATGTCAAATACTATACCTGTAGTTTTCCTTGGCATCTTCTAAAGCATACTGCTTAAACTCCTCATACATCTTCCTGTTAAAATGGTCTCGCAGGAAGAATGACCAAAACCTGAACAAGGTGTTCATTTCTTGGGACTGACCGATTCCCAACCGTTTTCTCTCTGAAACGCACAAGAAAAAAAATTGAGCTTGAAGAATGAAGAGGCATTTAAGAAAAAAAATTACTTAACCTGAAGCAGGGATTCAAATTGTATTTTTTCTATTCTAGTTCAAGTCTGGTCTCTGGTGCCAGAAGTTTTAATGTCTTGTTTCTGTTGCAAGCAAAGTTAATACTAAACTAAGTTAATGCTTTGCCCCATCAATTCATACTCATTAGCATTTATGTGTCCTTATTTACTTTGAAAACACTGCACAGACATGGAGAAATAAAGTAGTACTAAAGATCACTAAAAGGTATGATGTCATCCACAGACAGAAATAAATGCACTGCCCATCTGTAGAAGCAACAAGGCCTGTGTTGAACCCCCAGAGGAAAAAAACAGAAAACAGCAGAGGCTTCCACTGTATCCTGAACATGTTTATTTTCATCTAACAATAATAATGAAAAAGCACTCTCTAGAATTAAAACATGCAAAACACAAATTCTTAATCTTTCTTACAAATCATTCACCTCTTTACTACATGCCAAAATCAACTGTGTGTGATGTACAGTATGTATCCATTTCCAGCTCACTGGTCCAGTAGGTGTTTCTCATCTGAGCGCTACACTTACCTGCCTGATCTGTGACATATCTGAAAATGAACTGGATTAGCCGAGTGTTTCACTTCACTATATCAGTCAATGAAAAAGAAAAGGTAGTTGGTTGTTTTCATCATTGCAAATCTGAGCATGGTGGTGCTGCAGTTAGTCCTGAATTTCTGGTCTCGGGTTTGCATGATATCCCCATGTCAGTATGGGTGTTCCCTGGATGTCCCAGCTTCCACCCACATCCAATTTCACCCTGTCTAGGTAATTCAATCCCTCTAATGTGGAAAAATCCCTGCCCTGTGTCCTGTGCCTGTGGGTTAGGCTCTGAATTACAGGCAGCAATCTAAAGATGAAGTGGATAATTAGTCGACAGAAGTATATTTGACAAAGTCGGTGAAAGGGAATGAAAGAATAATGTTATTAACTGATAAAATATTAAAAATTTTACAACACATTGATCACTCTGGTTAGAGCCCCTGCTCTGAAGAAAAACAAGGCCACTGAACTCCGAACTTCAAACTCCTGCTCCGTCGTGAAGGGAGAAAACGTACCGTTGAGGCACCTCCTGCGGTATTTGTGGTAAACCTGCTGTGTGAAGCCATTCTCCTGGAGCAGCTCATGAGAAGGGTGCTGGAACTTGGGCAGCGAGTGTGGAGTACAGCCGTAACTTCCGACGAGAGGGGCGCCTTCTGAGGGGGAGGCATTGGAGCTGCTGCAGAAACAGAATGACGCACAGCGTGAGAGCTCGACCGCAGAGCAGGGACTCTGGCCCAGACCCGTGGGCACAGCACTTCCCGGATGGCTCAGACACGACGGCATTCCCTTCAGGTGGAAAAATATTCTTCCCTCACAGGCAGGTGTTGTAACATTACAAAGACTCCTATGTACAGGGCGTTCAAGGAGCCGCAGCCCGTGGTGTTACCTGACGGAGGAGGTGCGTGGCCTGTGCTCCCGTGAGTCCATCACCCAGCCCACATGACACTCCAGCGGCGGGTTAGAGCTGTGCCTGGTCTTCCTCTTCCTGGGGGTCTGAGACAGAGAGAAGACGTGAATCATGGGTGAACACCAAAAAAATAAGGGAGTTACCTCACTCACAAAAACAAACATATTGGGAAGGTTTTTTGCTATTTGAAGGGACAGAAAGAACAAGAACATCCCAACAAATGAAATTTTTGGTCTAAAGTAACAGATGGAATCTTTCCTGTGAAGACACAGCAATCTGCAAAAACAAAAGCCGTTTCCTCCCATTTAAAAAGAAACTCTGATGAAGCAAAAAAAGAGAAAACTACAGTACACTGCAATGCACTTCTGCTTCAGGAGTTGCTGATCACCTAACCAGTTACTGGAACATCAGTGTTGTCTGTATTGTGATGCCACAAGGCATCAGCCAGTGCCATTACTAGGCGATTTGGTCGAGATGTTTTTAGCTGCCAGAGCAGAAATGTAATGCTCATGGAGCTACATCACATGATTCGGCACAGGATTTCTTTGGTACCTTTCCATCGATGTTGCCTCCATCCTTGACAACAGGGTAGAAACGCGGAGTTTTGTTGGGATCTTGGAGTCGGGGCGTGCGGGGAGTTTTGGGCGTTCTGGCAGCGTGTGCTACTGGAGAATCTGGCACAGTTGTTGGCAAAGAGCGGGCAGTATTAGACACTGGGGGTTCGGCAGCACCAAACAGCTTGTTTGCTAACTCCTCTGTTAAATCTAAAGCGATTAAAGGGAGAAACAAGCTTGAAGAACCAACAGGCAACAGCAAGGAACATTCTCATGCAACACTGCCTGAACATGAGCTGCTAGTGGAAAGTTTTTTTTAGTCATTTGACATCCCAATACAGCCCCTTGTCACTGCCTGGTGCTCTCTTCTCAGCACCACTCCTTCCACCTTCAACCTCGTCCTTCCCTGTTGCCCATTACCTCCTGCCCTGCCTCTCTGCTGGTGGCTGCTTACTTGTTCCCGTTCCATCCTCTCCTACCTGACCCCTGCCACTGACCAGCCTCTCCTCCAAATGCACGAAGTCTGCAGCTTCATATCCTATGGTCTACAGGCAATCGTGACATGTAAACTGTCACCGACACTAGGAGGACAATTCACACTTTAGCTATTTGGAAGTTAAGATCTTTTCATTCTGGTATGTTTTCTATGCAGATGTACTACTTAGGTAATCTTTCAACGTTTACAGTTGATGCTTTTGACATGATTTTCTGATATTTTCTGCATTAGGTCAATATTTTAAACATTTTGTTCCAACACACTACTGCTGCACATCCTTATCCTATTACAGCACATTCACTTGTCACAGTCCTGCCGATGGTCTGGGTTCTGCGGTTGTTTAGGTAGTCTTCAACAGCAGAGAATAAGAGTGGATTTGATTATAGTATTCAAAATCTTCAAAGTGGATTCTTCAACTAATGGATTACTTCAAGCACTGCAACTGGAACAAGAATCAAGTAGACCTTAAAAGAAGGTGCATTAACTGATCACTGGGTGCACAGGATGTGTGAACTAAACATTTAAGCTGTATTGCAAAAGATGACACTTGTGAATCCACTGTAAAAAGGCTGGAAGAGATTCAGCAATTAAATTATTGCGAAATTTGACAAATTGTCTCCTCTTCTTTTTAGCCGTTTTAAGATTATTGTACAACACAGGTGTTGTCAACAGTCTTAGTGAGTCTACAGTCACGCAGGAGCAGGGAGAGCGAGCAGTCTTTTGTACCTGACTGTGGCCTGGGGGGACATGGGGGCACTTCCTGGTTGGGGTCAATAGGAGGTTCAGGGGCCAGGGTTTCAAATTGCTCTTTGCTGATCAGATTCAGCTTCTTGAAGTTCTCTACCTCCTGCTGGTGGAAAAAAAAACAAACAATACACACATAGGAGGCAACACACACAATACAAAGTCAAATGAGTAACAAGACACTAGAAATGGTACAGTCTAGGCCCGAGACACTAAGGGCTAATAGACAGTATAGAGAATCTAGATGAAATCCATGGCGGGTGATTAACATCCTGCAAGCAGTAGTCTGATGAACAAGATGGCCAGGCTGGAGTACAGTCATCTGTATCTTTTTTTCTGCTTTTACTAAATATACTCTGGGAGCACAACAGTACCCAGGCTACAAATATGGACAGATGGATTGCTGTGAGTGAAGACCATGCATTCTCTTTGCTATCTCGGGGCATTTCAAAAGCCAATTCTTTAGTAGTTTTACCTTTGTTTTTCCAAAATGACAGAAGTTAAAGGAAGTGTCCTATTGTGTTGCACTGTTACCACCACATGGACACAAATTTAATAGCCTTATTTTGTTGGTCCTTTTTCTTAAAAAAGATGTTAGATTGATAAAGGGAAATCTAGAAATGTTATCAATCTAGAAAAAAGGTTTTGTTCTTATACCTACAAAGTGTGAGAACAGGGTAGATGGGATTTTGGTGGATTTTTTTTGCTTTTGTCTGATACAGACACTCATTTTTCAGCTCTATTGCCGTTGGTTCTAGTGACAGATGTTAGTCCTGGGAATTGATGTACAGCTTGAGGGGCGGAGCCAAAAGTGATTTCGATATTCCTTAACTTTCAGTTACCACAGACAATCATAAGGAGTGTCCCAGTCTACAATGCAAGATTAGTCTACAGCATTAAAGGGATCATTCTTTTTGCTCAATCAACTCTCGAAATAAGTAGTCTCTATTTAGAAATCAACAATATGTCAGAATAGAAATCTCAATTTTAAGCATCACTTAAAGTGTAATAAGGAAATACAGCAATGGGCAGCAAGAAAAGTCTTTTCACTCATACATTTCAGACCAGTTCACAGTTTTGTAAGCAAGTCCTGGGTGAACCTAAACTACTGCATCTTTTGCAGACGTCCTGTGGGAGTTCATCATCAGTGTGAAAAAACGCAGCTGACCAGACTCTGTCGCTCTTGTGAGTCGCTCCAGGGTGGTAGTCGCTCGTAGAAGTCACAAAATCACTATTTTTTACAAAAGGGGACCTAAATTCTGGGAAGTTTATTTCAGATTTGTAATGTGTGAAGATGTTACATTTTCTTATCACAGTGTTATTTTTAAATGTATGTTTTGTGGTCAGGAACTGATTTGTCTATAAGAGATGCATGACAACTGGTAGGACCATTTTACCATGTTGTCATTATCATACCTGAATATAAAAATAAAATCAAAAGGCATTTGGAAATATGGTCAGCAGGTGGTGGCTAAAATGTGTCTGAGAGCAACAGATGGGGTTTTGATACCGATGCTTACATGTGCTCTAAAACCTGCAATACCTCTTGCTAAACATCTGTTCAGAGATATGTTTTTACCACCTGGTGGGGAAAAAAGCAGATACCAGACTGTTTATCTGGAAAAGAACCTTGAACAACAGCCATCAGTGACTTAACAGTTTCCATCACTACTAACCTGTTGCTTTTCCAAAACCATTTAGGTCACTATTAAAGAACACTGTACCGTTTCTTGAAATGGAGGCCTGACGCCAGATGTAATTAACAGTTTCCAAACGTTAAAGATAAATATGAGACTTGACAGAAGCCTTAATAATACTGCTATCTTGGCAGTACAGGAGGTTGTACTGAGAAAAACAAAATTCCCCACCCGTGCCCCACCCCGCAAGTATGAAATGCCCATGAACATCTAAATCTCTCCCCCACCAAAGGGCAATTTGAAGGTAGCCCAGCTAAAATCTAAGTGAAACCTGCATATCTCGCAATGTGGGAGGGAAAACTGGAGTGCCAAAGGGGGGAGAACATTCCACATAGACAGGAGGCACCCCAAGCTGGAACTGCGCACAGGACCCTGAAGCTGTGAGGCAGTCGTGCCAACACCACGTGACTGCACTTTTGACGTCTAGGCTCAGTTCAGTTGTGAAATGAGCTGAACATTCGGAATCTGCTCAGCAGACCCGATGAATTCAATGACCATGGAATCCTTCATTCTCCTGCGTATCCCTGCATGCCCTGCCTCAGGTGGTGCTGGCCTGGCAGCTTACTTTTATGGTGGCGTACTCGGTCTCGCTCTCGTCCATCCACAGGTCCTGCTCGTAGTAGTACAGCCCGTCATTGATGGCCTTGGCCAAGTCGGCCGAGATCTTGGCGCGGGAGATGTGGTTGCCAGTGCGATCCCCCCCCGGGTGCTTGCGCAGGTGAGGAGGAGTCTGGGTGACGATGAGGATCTTGTTGACGTCGTGGTCGTCGATCTCGTAGTCGGAGTCGTCGTCCGACCAGTCGGTGAAGGTGTTCTTGCGTCCAGCCAGGTGCTCCATCTCTTCGTCAAACAGGAAGTCCAGCTCTTCCTGCTCAGGCTCCGTCTTTGGGCTGGGCTCTGGAGGGGGCGCGCTCTCCTGAAAGGGGGAGAAAAAAAAACCCTCTGGATCTTTCTGGCACATGGCACATGAGTGTTTTTTGCATGGTGCCACTGTTGGACTACAGAATACACTTCCCACTGCTGTAAGTATGACAAAGGTTCTAACTTGGAATGGAATAGCTGCAGATAACATGTCTGACCCTGGCTTTTCAGAAACCATTGCGAATGCTTTTCATACCCTCCCTTCTTTCTGCTAGGTCTCCAATTGTGAAAAACCATGTGATGTGAAATTAGATACAAACAGGAACACTTGTCATCATCATCAAGGTTTTAGATTTAAGTTAGCTGATAGAGCTTAGCCTGTTCAATGATAATGGGGGGAAAAAATAAATTAAACCTATCGTCCATCCATATTCTTACCTTTTATTCAATAGAGGATTGCTGGGGAGTTAGAGCTATCCCAGCAAGCATTAAACCTATAATAGACAAGCTTTTCTTGATCAAAGAGCATACATTCTATCCAAGTTTGTTGGTTCATTAGAAGTGGAAGTTATATTAAACACTTGCCATGACTTCAGCACACACTTACAATAATGTACACAAAGAATCAGACTTGCTGGAGCCAATACACTTTCCTTAATGATTAAAGTGTTGCTTATCTTTTTCCTTTGCATACAATAAGACAACAAAAGCAGGACACAGCCTAGACATTTGTATTCCTGTGATTATGGACGGTAAAGGCTGCATGCGGGTGTTTAATAAGGTTGAAGAATCTCAATTAAAAAATGTTCAAACATGTTTATAATCACAGGGGTACTGTACAACAGACGTACAGTATTCATGTTGGCGGTGACCTGACAACTTCCTCCTACCTATTTTCCTTGATTTAAAGGTACAGTTTCAAACAGCCTTTTGTACTAGTTGCATGAATGATGAAAATAGAAAACAGTTTTTTTTCCGCACTTACTCATTTTCTCTTTCATCTCAGCCGAATGTATTTTAGGGGGATAGCACCTCGAATTTTACATTTGTATTACTTGAGCTTTGTAAAACACAGCTACAGTATGTGGCTCAGTGTTTGTTCCAAAATCCAGACATGTTCCTTCTCAGTGTGAAGGGATAACCTTTACATTAGGCCCATGTCACATGACAGGGGTTCTATGCCTCAATTCCATTGCTCAATCAAATCATCTGTGATTTGTGGATGGTATAGTATCTTCTGAACTTTGGAACCATTACATACAAGTCAGGGAGAAAACTACGGCCTCTAAGATGCCAGAATGTGATGGTATATGCATCAGATCAGAGGGTGTTCCCTTGTGTCTGTAGTTCAAAAAATGTAACCCAACATGCATATACTGTAGCACAAATTGTGAAGGAGTCACACGGAAATAAGTGAAAATGGTTACAAAAGGGCAGAAAAATGACTATACGTAAAGAGTTAAAGAGAACCACTAAACAGACCTGTAATCTCAATGCAACCTATACATCTGGACAATCTTCTTTGTGTAATGAATTTGATTTGCTCATACACGTATATGTACAGTAAAATGGTCATTGTTTTTTTATAATTTTAGGATCACCTAATCATTTCTATCCCAAACCAATTTGGAATACTCAAGTGTTCCCCCCCCCCCAATCTCGACTTGCAGCTGCGATCCCTGCAAAATGACCACATGGGAGGAATGAGGAGGTGATGATTTGTTAACACACCACAGCCCTGCAGCAGAGGTTGAGAGCCGATTGAAGGAGCTAGTGCCAGTGCCACAGGCCTGCAAGCAGCCTGGCGGCTGTGGAGGTCACGCAGTCACAGAGAGAGAAATATCTGGCCAGCACTCAGCCAACTGTGCAACTCCCCTTGGGAAATCCAGACACACTCAGCTAATGACATGACAGGGCTCGAACCTGTGATCACAGAGCTCAACCTGGTTGAGTCCCTCACGAGGCCCATCATTGTGATTTGACGCCCACATTATGACTTCTGTCACTGGCAATGTGAATTACACACGAGCCTTTAGTCTTTGAGACATATTTCTGAGTGATCTGTGGTTGCTACATATGTATACAGATAAACTTCTGGGCTTCTACAGATCCTGCAACATTAATAGCAAAGATCAACAACTCCAAGTACAGAGTTTTTAATCACACAGACTAGTGGATGGCAAATACAGGCACATTACTAAAGATAACACATTAAATATAGTTATTATTGATGAGTGCATCAGTACATACTAATCTCTTGCCACTCTAAATGGTGGGCAGGGTTGAAAGATACATTTAATGAGAAATATTGGTACTTCTCCAGACCCCTCAACTTGAGGGTGCAGTCTGGGAGTACTGCAGGAAACAAAATTTAAGGTAATTTACAAACAACACCAATCTTAAAAATCATCAAGTATTTTTTTTTTATTATTAGGTATAAAATGTTTCCTGCACACAAAGCAGGAAAGGTGTCTGAGGCGACTGGATCTTTCTTTCGGGTGACAGTACTTGGGTCTGGAGGACTGCTGGGAGGAAGACCTCTGTGGTCTTCTCCGCAGGGAACAACATCCATGTCTGGACATCACAATACTCAACTGCAGCAGGGACAGACTCCGTCTTGGTGTCAGGGCGTGGGGGGTTATTACTGGACAGAGCAATATCAACATCCTGCAGACAGACAGAGAGAAAGATGTGGTATGAACAGAAAAAGAAGGGATGAAGGGCCAAAAAAAATGAAGAAACAGATTTGTAAAGGAGAGCTCTGATCTCCAGTTAAAGCAATGAAGAACAAGAAAAAAAAACAATGCATGCTAAACAGAATGGGCTAGTGTGATGTCATTGTTACAAAGTACACAAAAAAGGAGAAACTAAAGCAGAATTTGGTTAAAATTAGAAGGTTATTGTCTCGTGATGAATATTTACATCTCTCAACAGACATTTTCTTCACTGCTTGTCAAACAAAACCCATAACATTTCAAACAACTTCAGGTGATTGGAAGAAAAAAGTTATTAGTACTGTCTAACTGATTTTAGCCACAGTTAAGTGAATAGTGCTACTAAACATGCACATATCTACAACAGTAGTACCAATCTGGTTTCTCTGTCCCAAGAATAAATAAGTCAATTACAAATGTGAGTAACTCAAAATACTGGAATCTTTCTACAATTTCACTGGTGAAAGTGAGTCAGTGACATCAAAACAGATCTCAATATGCTGATGATTGGATTACTTTACTCTTCTATTTACAGAGCTTTTTTGGCTATGATCTGTGCCCAGGTTTAAACCTGTAACTAGTTTACTCAGAAAACAGTATAAACCATATTTAAAAAAGGAACACATTATTTTACTTTTCACATATTACTATTCTGATTCTGATTTTGTGACAATTATGCAGGTTTTAACAAAACAAAAAAAAAGTTTAGTCTAGGCCATTAGACTGATGCCAAAACAAAGACTTAAACAAAGTTTATCTAGTTATATATTGCTGTCATTAATATCTCCAGCTATTATAATACTTATTTTTACAACAAGGTACATCTTACATTCCAGCTACTTTCTAATGCTGGAACTGCAAATTAACCCTTCAGAACCAGTTAAATGAAATGTTGTCAAATCACAAACATTGGCCTCCCCCCCCCCCCAACTATATCTGCTAAAATTAAAAGTTTCTCAGAATATTCATACCCACTAACAACTTCCAAAAACAGTATTAAATGGGAAACTGCTTAAACAACTGCAAGTACTGAAACTACAGACATTCTGAAGGATGGATTAGCTTAAAGTTCTCAAAGGCAATTTATACAACCAAAAGGCTAAGAAGTCCTAATGACATCTTAGCTCAGGATTTAATCTGCAATGTTTTATCTTGAGAAAACAATCCTCAGCCCATAACTCATTCACATGCAGAAAATCATGTGCAACATGTTTCCATCTAAAAGGCACTTCTTGCTACCACCAATATTATTATTACCCATGAAAAATATTAAAACTCATCATTGCTGTTCTGTGGTTCAGCAGTTTTTAAATACACCTACTGTAGCTAACTGCCAGTCAAAGACAGTCTTCTAAATAATACGGACAATCAAAAATAAGCCTTTTGCAAAGACAAAACCCAAAGCACTGTAAAACATCACCACCGTAAGACAAAAGAGAAAAGAAAAAAGCTTTAACAGGTCTTTAAGCAGCTTTTGAAAATGTCTAATCACACATTCTCTAATGGACTGCAACAAAGAGGTGGATGTACAGACCAATGTGTGGAGCCCGAACTTTTGCTGGTCTACACACATGCAATAAATTCTTAAATAATCTGAAGATAGTTCATTTACTGTGTTATACATTAGCAGGAGAACCTTAAAGTTCACTACAAGCTGAAGTGTGATGAGAGGTCCTTGCAAAACTACATTACCCAAAAAGCTATGGGGATGGGCTGAAGCCTCCATAGTGCCTTAGCAGATCTCCCAGTTAAATAAGGATTACAGTAGACTAATCCTGACAAATAAATGCAGGTAACAATACAGCAGCATCAGCAGGCTTGGCGAAGGCCTTCATCTAGTAATGTTATATAGACTGAAAAAATACACTGCAAGAAAACAAATCCAGGGATGTTATCAAGTAATAATCCTGCATTCATAAATTGAGACCAGGACATTCGAGTCATTCCAATGTTAATTAACTGAAATAAAACTAGTATTGATTGATCATTAGATCCCCGCTACACCAAAATGTCCAATGCAATTCACCAGCATAGGAGGAGACACTGCTTTGAAACAGAGATTCTTATTCCTCATCCCAAGGGACTCCTTTGCCTGTTAGCTTTCACACCAGTTGTGCTCTTGATCACCAGTGCTAACTGGAGTGTGTCACTGATCAGCTTGCTGGTCTAGACTTCCATCTACACTCAGGACTTGAGTTCAGAAACACCCTAGCTATAGTAAATTTCTAACAACTAAGGGTACATTTGCATACTTGTTTCTAAATAACTCTTGACAGGTGACCAGGTGATGATCAACACACTCAGGTGGAAATGACAGAACATCAGACACTGCCACAGTAAGTCAGTGATTTTTCATCTACTGTAGTCCAGCTGGTCACATTTCGGCAAACACACTTGAAAGAATGCAGTTCTTAAACTGACTAATTAGCACATGGCTGCTCCCAATTGCAAATCATATTCAACTTAACTATTACAATTATAGTGTTACTCTCTAAAGTGATTTGTGCTGAAACACTTTAAAGACTTGTGAATTTCCCCAGTAGTTTGATTTTGATCCAACCATTAGACATTACTGACCACTGAAATTCTTTTTGGTAGATGGTAGCGACATGTGGCAAAACTGCAGTATAGAAAGAGCAAAAACTGTACTGTTTTATTGCCAGTTTCTATTCCAGCTTCACTTTCAGGATAGAAGCACAGAAAATAAATGTCACTTGTCAGCTTCTGTAGTTGCCTAGTACAGTGTCGTTAGGAGAACCAAAGAAAACGTTTCACACTTCAATGGCACCAGCATCGCTAAAGCAAATCAAACCCTAGAGATACAGTTCAACTTTTGAACTTCAGTCAAATCTGAGAACACAGCAGCCATTCTGCATCTAATAACATGAATAACAAGACCTCTTACTCCTCACAGTTTTTCTTTTATTGCGTTTTGCAGGAATATCTCAATGGAGTGGTATAAAACAGGAATGCTGGGTTAAAGTGAAGTGAAGTAAACTAATTTAAGGCTGGATAGGTTTGGAAAAATCTCTTTTAACTAACTGACACAAGTGTTACTTACATGCACTATTTCTGCTGTATTTAGTGAGATAAGAAAATATAAGTGTTCAGTAATTTTGACCATTACACCATAAACACTCTTGATCAAGAAAGCAGTGGTCTTTACAAACCTTTAATGCAGTTCAGAGGTGAATGTGCACTTACAGTATGAATCAATGTCTGAGTAACTGGAAAAGTTAATATATAACTAGAGCAAATATCAATGCTGAGGATTTCCTTGAAGGTAATTAATGGTATTGCTACATTTAACATGAGAACATTTTAACCAATCAGATGTATAAATAGCAAGGGATTTACAATATACAGGGTTTGCTTGAAGCACAACACATAGTCACAATTCTTGTAGAGGAAACAGATTGAGCAACAGCAAGGTGGCTTAATTTCTGAATGCTCTGAAAGCCTTTGCTGGAATGATGATGAATAAAAACCACGGCTGTCCTGCAGGAGCAGCTTACCTTAGGCCTGGCAGGAGAGGGCCGGTGGCGTTTCTTGACCTCTATCCAGGGCTCAGACTCCAGGTCGGGCAGGCTGGTGGACAAGCCCTTGGACATGCTCTGCAGGTTGCTGGGCTCCACACTCTTCCTCATTATCCCTGTGCTGGCTGCTCTAGGAGAACTGGGAGCAGACCCTGCATAGCCACAGAAGAGCACGCAATGGTCAGAAGATCCGCTCCACTTGCCTATCCACAGAGGCTTTGGAAAATTAGGATTAACATCTGTACAGACTGTTTTTTTAACATGCAAATTCCTGTACGCCTTTTTCAGCCCAGCTTAATACAGAGACTGACCTGGTGTCAGAAGACAACACTAATTAAAGAGAACCAGATGGTAACACCAATAAGTGAGACCAAGATCTTTGTCTCAGCTTGTCCAAGACCAAGTACAGCCATTCCAAATGTCTAAGCTTACTGGCTGACACTTATCAGACACCTGTAACTTGTTATTGTCTCACACAGGCTTGTATTTATTGTCCCGTTTAATTAAGCTTCAGTCCTGTAATGAAAAAACGCCCTCAGATCAGTTCGTTGTGTCATTTTACATTAAGTGCCCGCTGCTTGGCAAAATGTATATTAATCATGTGAATGTCAGTGCGAGTCTTCCACAACAAAAGATTTTCGTCAGTGCATTTATGTTGTTGTTTAGCTATAAGACATTTAAATTTTGAAATGAAAAATTACTGCCTATGAAGAATTTTACTCCAGATTTAGGAAAAACACTAGAGCTGAAGCCAGACTGAAAAAAGCTTGCCGACGTCTAGAAGGAGTATACTTAAGAAGCCTTGTGCTTTACCGACCACAGTCATTCTATAATGAAGAGGAAAAGCACACTGGAGTTCAACCGTCCATCACAAAAGCCAGTTTTCATGTTTTCAGAGCTTGGTTTATTCCTCAAACTCAAATAAAATAGTTAGGACTATATACATCATTGCATCATTTAAAATGTGGAGCAAAAATGTGAGCATCAAAAAAATATTTATAATTGAAACAAATACACAAAGTTATCATCAGTGATAACACAAAGTGATTATTAGAAAATTACTTTTTTTTATTAGGTGCACAAATTTTAATTGAATGTACCTGATATAGGTAAATTCATATGCTGATTCACATTTGTCATCAACGGTATGCCCACAACGGTCTATTGTTACAATCTGGTGGTAGCGTGTGTGGCCAGCATTGGAAGCCATACAAACTCTACATGCAAGACATTTTGAAGCAGATAGCAGATGTGGTCTTTTGGGATTCTGTCATATTTCTCTTATAGAGCCTGGATAAACACATAGCTTATTAACCATGCCACATCCCAGCTCATGTTCAAAGGGGCTCAAGTCAGCCCCAAAAATGTAACATTTAATTCCACAACACCCATTTCTACTCAAGCAGCAGGAGCACATGTGCTGTCATCAAGATGAGCCCACAGAAAGGGCACAGGATATATAATATATATCCATGTTATAACGATCAATTAATCACAACACCATAACACATTCAATCAATACCCAAACCCACCTGCTTTTTCTTCTAAAAATCAGTGCAATATATATTTCCTGTTCTAACAGAACAAAGCTTCTCTTTATACTGTATACTTTATACAGTGCTTACTAACAGCAACCGACTTCTACAGCGTTTTTTACAATAAATTTTATTATGAAAACTGCTTGAGCGAAACTAATTTAAAATAAGATTAAATGAAGTATGAAGGAGTGTCCCGCCACTCCAATGAATACAGTAACAAGCTGACCTCAGTACACTGTGCTGTCCACAAATCTCAGTTTTATGTTACTGAAGCTGCCAATCAAGGATTCAGTTCTGGCGCTGGAGCCAGAGAGTTGTCTTACTCACCGGTGGCCTGTGAGGTGAAGGCCTGACCTGGTATGAACTCAGGGCAGTTAATGAGCTGGGAGAAGTCGGTTCGGGGTGCATCGAGGGTGGGGGGGCCAGGAATGGGCCAGCGCTCCGGTTCCACCTTCGTCCGGATCTTCTGGTCGGTCAGCTCCACCTCGGTGCTGTCCTTCAGAGCCTGGCCACAGCAGCACACCCTGAGACTAGACCGAGTCCTCACCTGCCTACCCCCTGTACCCACTGACGTCCTGCCCCATATGAACTCAGATCCTTCAAGATGGACAACACACTGCCATTGTGTTGTCTTTTTTACCACAAGACATTGCCCCCATTATTCAAATCTTCACTTTCCACACATCTTGTTTGTCCATTACATTCCTGGTCAACTTTATGAAAAGCACACAAAAATTGAAAAAGCCAATTTGAGCGTCATTTTTTCTTGAAGTAACTATGCATCACCTGCCCACTTAACCCAAATGTCATAACATTTACAGACTGGTTCATAAAGCTTTTCTTTTTTCATTTTCTGAATATTCAACAGCACAGCCTGAGCCAGAGGTAAAACTGTTGTGGTGAAACGTTTTCCCTTTTTGCTCAGAAATTTGGTGTTAATTGAACTTTGTTAGGCAACAGTGAAATGAAGCAAATTACGCACTTTCTTAAAAAGCTTTGAACGTTATCAACAGAAATGAGTGTTGATAACTCACTAGACACTCACTAGATTCCAAATTTCAATTGTGCCACCAGATCGGACTGGTTTCGACAGTAAGCATTTGCACTTAGGAGCTTTTCTGGGAGCTATGTTTGGGAAGGTTACCTCAAAGATGAGACTGACATCTGTTGTGAGTGCTTGTACGCGATGAAAACTGGCTATGAGGGAGATGGGAAGGAAGCCTTTGTCATCCATCTTTCTCCTCAGGAAGAAGTCCCTTTCCAGATTTTCCGGGCTGAAGTAGTACTCGCTGCGACAGACACAGAGGAAGAACAGCAGGAATCATTTCTCAACAAATTACAAAAAACGCAAAACTGGGTTACACTGCATGTCTACTTTCAAACATGTAAATGTTATGATTTCTCAGTTCTTTTCACACAATCAGAAAATGTAATTTTGTTGCTGAAGAAGCAACTGGGCGAGATCCTTAGATGTACAATATTAGCTAATTATCACCAAAAAAGAATGGCCGTCATAAACAGTTCTTTATGTTCTTAGGGCTCCCAAAAAGAAAAGTCTAATACGACACTATAAAATAGATCTATATTATCTACAATAATATGTAGATAACATGTAGTGATATACACTAAAATATCAGTCGCAATATAGATTTGGCTTTAAAAAGAGGTTTTTAATGTAAAAGGGTGCCATTTTAATTGTACTGTATATTCATTCTATTTATTTTCTTTAATACTTCAACTTCCTGATCTGCATTTAGGAGGCAGGCTGACTATAACAGTAAGAGCATTTTGTTAAAAACACTTAAAAGCTGACAGACGGGACTAAGGTGAGAAAGCAAATAATTTGCACTCAGCAGAAAAAAAGGATAATTAATACCACTACACCGACAAACTATATTTTACATTCTAGATTCTCTTCTCACAAAAGCATGATTAAAAAGAAAAGTGAAATTCTCGTTTGCAGCCCTTCTGTATTTCATAACTAAAACTTTCATCTTCATCTTTGTTATTTGAAATAGTACTTATCTAATTGGTATTATTCCTCTTTTTGAAAATCTGAATTCTGGACAGTAGGAAATTCAATACTTATAGGCCAGCTTGTCAGCTTTGTCTGTTGTCAAATATTTTAACAACTTTCACACCTGCAATTGTGTTTTCTAATTTTGACTAGAGGGTGGAAAGTTTTGAAACCTGAAATGATTCATATTTATTTTTTGTACAGAGACAAAAACTACAATTAAATGACTCATATAAGTATAGACACAGGAAAGGAACTTAAGAAAAAAAGGAATAAGTGTGTTTTATTGAACAGATCTGTGGAAATATGTAATTTGCAAGACCTAATGCATTACAGCTATTATCAGTTTTAAAAAGCAGAGATAACATTTTGAATCAATAAACATGCATGTTGAAATCAGTGAGCTAATATAAAAGGCCAGCATTTAATATGGTATTTTGTGCACAGCAAAAATAATGATTTAAGTAAACAAACAGGTATCTAGTAATAGGAATAAAACACTCTTTGCAGATTTTCTACCACTGTCGCCAAACGTATTTTATCAGGTGAGAATGACTAGATAATCAGAACCAAAAAGTGTTTTCTGTTGCTGCTAGTAACACAGCTGACACCGACTTAATACATCCCGAACCCATCACTTTCTTAGCTCCTACCTCAAATTGTGCTTACTGAGGCACCATCTCTGCACCTCAGACTGTAGTAAGAGAAGTTATTTTGCCTGCTGTGCTCAGAGAGCTAATTCTAGAACACCAAAAGCCTTCTAGCATTCAATTCTCTCAGATTACAACCAGTTAACTAAGGATAAGGACACCTCCTGCTGGACAGAAAGGGTACATCAAAGGCTTTAACAAATACTTACTGAATGTGTACTGACTACTCTGGAGGAGAGCAGGTCTGACCTTATTACTAACAATGTAACGGTCTCCTTTCTGACTACTGATGGAATTCAGGCTTTTCAATAAATGATACAAACAGTGCAGCTTGTTTCACTTATCAGCATTTAGTTTTTGAAGGTGACCTTGAGAAAATGTTTAACCTACTGTTACCTTTCATCAGCTGCAACAATAAAAATGAAAATGACTCTAGTCATGTTATTAAAACTTGAGTACTTGAGAATTATATATATATAGATTTATAGTGAAGAGTAACCTTAAATCAACCCTTTAGGGAACTAGCAGTGTTATGCAAGAAGATTTCAGGGAGGTATGCTAAGGGACTGTGTACTGGGAATCACATTTGTCTTAAATATCATAAATCATTTTTGCAAGAAAAGTGAGCCTTCATATTGATAGCCACTGGTATCCCACTGATAATTCTGCATGAACAATGTAAGAAAATTGTCTTGCTTTCCCTTCTTATAAGTATTGTTTAAAAAACTGCCTTAACTACTGTATGAGCTGTGTTATAGCATATACCGGAGATCCAAGAATAATACTTTTTAAATGAACAGTGAAGGGCTTATAAATGTTGTGTATCTGTTTTTTAATGTCAAGGTCTCCACAGCATGACAAAGGACAGGACAATATTAAGGGTGGTGTGGTGGCTCTGAGGCTAAGGATCGGCGCCTGTGGCTGGAAGGCTGCCAGTTCGTATCCCACGGCCAGCAGAGGAATGCTACTCCCATGGGCCCCTGAGCAAGGCCTTTAACCCCAGCTGCTCCAGGGGCGCCGTATAAATGGTTGTCCCTGCACTCTGACTCCAAGCTTCTCTCCCTCTCTGTGTGTCTCATGGAGAGCAAGTTGAGGATATGCGAAAAGTCAAATTCCTTATACAAGAAATTGTATATAAATAAAGTGATCTTATCTTATTAGAGTAAAATAAAATGAAATCCTTCAATATATAACCTTCAAGCCTGGAAAAGTCTTAGGAACGCATGGAAAATACAGAAAGTAATTAATTTCTGTATTGGAAAAATGCTAAGGCCTCCAGTATGAAAACCCAGGGGTGCCAAGGAAGGATCAAGAGAGATCAGAGCTCACAGACAGATTAAATTTTAACTGCCTTTGGATTCACTGGGCTTTGGTCACAGAGGATTATTTGCACTGGACTGCACTGCATTCACAGCTGAAGAGGTGTAACAGGCTTGGGCAAAACCCCGCAAATAAAGAAAATGCTTGTCAACACCCTGTAGTCTGGCCGACGCATGAGATGTTTTGAAACCTTTAGAAATATCACATGTAAGAAGCTTTCACTCACATTTGTCGCTTGATGTACTCTTTCAGTAGATTTTCGTCCACAGGGTACACCTGCACTCCGGTGCCATCGTCGTAGTAATACATCATGTTGGTGCTGTATTCACCCTGGTACTGTACATCAGAAGCCTCCATGTATGGCTCTCTATACCCATAAGGGTAGTCGTAGTGCACTGCGGGGGGTTCACAAAGCAGGACCGACACTCAGCGAGGCCTACACACAAGCTACAACAGGCTACAACATCACCTGAACATGTTGAACAGACAAAGCCAAACAGTAGCCACATGGCTTGAAAGTGAAACCGATAAAGTTGAGGGGATGACAGCAGCTAGTCTTTGATGTCTAAATCTGCCTCTTAAATTTAAAAGCAAAAAAATCTAATTAAAATTTAAAAATCCTAAATAGCTCTGTTTTTACACCATCGCAAATTTTAAAAGAACAACAAAACAAGAACTTCCTACTCCTCTTGCTGAGAAATGAGTTTCTGGTTTTAAATGAATGATTTAGGTAGTTTTACACCTCTTTTTGCTGTCAATCCCATCACTTTCTCCACAGGTGTTCCAACAGCTCAACGCATCTTTCGACCCGGAAGCTTCTCTGAACAGAGCAGAGCTCCCCCCGTAGAAACCCAGAGAAGCCAACTAAGACCCGCATCTGCCCTGCTGAAGGCCTTGGTGACGGGTCGCGCTGTGGGGAAGGGTGGTACTCACTGTGCGGACCTCTGCCACGCCCTCTCACCCGCCCTCGACCCCTGCCCCGGCCTCGGAAGCCTCCCCTCAGGTTAGCGCCCTCGCTGCGGACGCTCGACACCTCGTCCAGGTCCTCCCTGCGCTCACGCCGCCAGCCTTGGGGAGGAAAAGGACAGACGCAGAAGGCAGGTGACATAACCCTCAAGCCTCCCACATCTCACAGGTCCCTGTCCGGTCACAGAGACTCTCGTCGCCCCGTCTGCAGCCGTGCGCTGTAAGGACTGGCAAGATGAGTCAGGGCTGACAGGTGTTTCACGGTCGAATTGTTCATTTTGATTTTCAAAGAAACGCCAACCAATTGCTCCATTAGCTTATTTCTACAGACCTCTGGTAGATCATGTACCCCAGGTTTGGCAACAAACATTTCAGACTACCTCTTCTTCCTTCAGTGCTGGCATCTATATCAGAGAAGGTGGAAGATGAAACATTTCTTAAAACCTGAATTTTAGAAAGAAATTTGAATTGGCCCGGGCTGCCAGACAGAGCTGTGTTAAAAATGGAAAGCCCAGCTTAATCTGTTAAAATAAAAAGCAGTCAAAGGGGGAGAACGCTATCAAAGTTTTAGGACAGATAAGGGATGCAAAACAGTGGGATGATTCAGATGCCCTTTGCTGTCTCAGCTGGGCTAAGCTGAGGGAAAAGAAATAAAAACATTAGCTGAGGTTAAGCATCATTGCATGTTAAACACGCTTCATGATGTAAACCTCCACCACTTAATCAGTCCTGTTTCAGAGACTAAATCAGAAAAATCCCTTCTGCTAACCTTTTCACAAGCTTTATAGTTCAAGTTTCACTGTGCAGTCCTTTATTATGGCATTGTGAGATCTGGAGAGGAAATACTGTAAATATGCCAGTAAGGCCTCTGTCACACCAACCATGAAAGAGAACCCAAGCCAGCCTGCGTGTCTGATATAAGAGCTGCTATAATGAATCTTCCAGTCAGCAATGAACTGTGGGAAGTAAAGGCATATTAAAGTTCTCCTACACACCAAAGTGGAACAGTATCTCATGTAATATTGTACATGATCGTCAATACAGGCAGTAAGCATACAATGCTAGCTCTGACCCCGAGCTCCATATAGTTATAAATCCAGAACTAAGGAAGAGTGTATTCAGGTAAAGATAAGACAAACCTGCCTTTTAAAATACTCCATTTTCACATCATGATTTTTATGACAAGAAGCACTGTTTCTGTAAAATGTTACACCATTAAAAAAAACATGTAGCTTATTTCTGTTACTGCGTACACTGTGGTGGGTTATGATAAACAATATATTGTAATACCACAAAGGAAAATAGGCTTTCAAATTATATGATAAACTATCCTCTACCTTTGTTAACTGAAACAAACTGAAGTTTAGCCTAACAGCAGTTAGAATCACATCATAATAACCCACAATCACATAACAAATAGCATAGAAAACTCTTGAACTGCTGTGGAAAGTTAGAATTTCCATCCAGATGATGACTTACAGGCTTCTTGCATTAAACAAAAGGATGAATCGAAATGAGCAAAATGAAAATCACAAGACATCTCGGACGGTACACGAACGTTGTAAATGGTCAAGTTTTAATGAGAAAAAGCAGGAAACAGAGGATTCAATGTCTGGTGTTTTCATCAAAAACAAAAATGAGGATAAAGTGAAGGGGGAGGTGGATTGAGGAAGCCACATGCACTCCTGTACATTTCTTCACAGCTTTCCCAGACCCTACCTGTCTTCAGTGAAGCACACCACTGAGAGAGAAAGCGTACCACCTTGAAGTGCTTTGGTATGTAAATGAAGAGCAAACTTACTCCTTGCATAATCATTCCTTCTGTTATTGGGCAGGGCCCTGTCGGATTCTGAGCGCGAACGAGAGCTGTTTCGGGAGCTGGGTCTTTCCTGGTCGTCCTGACTGGAGTCTTCTAGTGGTAGTGGGACCCATTTATGTTTGTTACCTAACGACAGGCGTAGATTGAGAACATTATTGACTCTGGAGCTCCTTAGCCCTGAGAAACCTACTCTAAAACTAAAACAAATCTGTTTTAATCGCAATATCATTTCATAACGCATGAGCAGTTTTCAAGGCCTGAAGGTGAGGTTTTCACAGGCGTCCTATGAGTTTTAAGCCTCCTACAAACATGCACATACACCCAAATGTTTTCATGCACTCATTTCTACACACATAGAAGTAGACAATTACACATGACTGACTTTATGCAAAACCTTGTAATCTATACAGGAGAGAATTAACAATGAGGAGAAACTCAGCACCCATTATTACACTGATGGGTAGTGAAAATGTCTCCTTCAACTCAGACAGTTCCCCAAAAAATATTCATAATGGTAGTCATATGTGTAACTAATAAGCATGAAAATCAAGTTTTACTTTTACCCCCTTATAAAACATTCTTTCAAAAATAAAGCACCATTGAAGTGCAAGCACTAGTAGCTTGATTCTGCTAATAAATACTGTTCTCAAGAGCCATACAGAGGGAAACCATATGGAGGAGATGCCAAAATATTTTTGAACAATTTAAAGCAAAACATTTCCACTCGCGTTTTGCATAGACTGTTTTTTTTAATACATTTCTGTACAATGTGCACATCATGCTTAGAATTAGGATCAGATTCAAAGATTTATACATTTTTCCAAAAAGACATCCAATGATCTGTAGGACTAAGATGCACATTTTAAACAGGACAAATATAAAAGGAACAGGTGGGCTTTTTTTCTAAAGACACTGATTTTTACAAAAATTACCCTGATGGGAAAAAAAAATATTGCACACCTAATTTGCTTAGTTAAACCAAACTAACCCATTAGTCAAATATTAAGATGTTGATAACTTAGAGAGACTGGATGGACTAGGACATCACAAGTGGAAAATGTTTTTGCAAGAACAGAGACAATTCATTGCAAAAAAGTTTTTTTTAGAATAAGGCCTTAAATATTTCCCAGCAGGTGGCCATAAAGCTTTAGAATTTCAAATGTATGTCGTCCTACCCAGGCATAAAACACCCAGGAAAATGACAAACTTTATATGAAAGGTACTGTACAAAAAGAAATATACATGGAATGACTGGTAAGATCTAAAAAACTTGCAGTGTGCTGTATTGTGTAAAAAAAGAGTGAAAGAACTGAAAGCAACACTGTCAGAATCAATAATAATCAAATTTGATGTAGATTTTAAACTTAATTCATTTTTTTAGTTAACAGATAAATTAAAGACACCGCAGCTTAGATAACATGACTTAGAACTAAGCCAAATGTTTAATTACATCTAATTTTAAATGGCACTTAAAGGTAACTAATCCAGTGCTTAATGAGAGAGCCTAAAACTCAGGATGTCCCTTGTCTTGAAACTTAATTTTGAAATTGCACCTTAACTAAATGTAAATAAAAGGAGGCCAAGAATATAAATATTTAAAAACAATTGCGGAAAATCAAAAACGTAAACAAAGAATACAATAAAAGTTAACTATTTGTTTTAGATTTAGTCTCTAAATCTTCCCAGTGCTCCCACAAGAGAAGCAATAATCATGAATTATATCCTGTGAAATGTAATAAAATATAACTGAAAAGCTTATTTTTCTCTTTCCCTTTCAGCAGTTCTTAAATATTGACCTGATAACTCAAACTTCTTCCAATTGTAACTGCTCAGTAAACTTTTGTTACTTGGTTATGTGTGAGAAACATAACAACGAATAATTCACAGAAATAAAGACCTAGGAGAGTTCTCGACTGTAGGCGTACAGGGTACAAGTAACTCCATGCCCTGTGGAAGTCACGAGTCAAAAGTTACACTGTGCTGTCAGGAAGGACCTCCTTTACAGAAGAACAGTAGGGTATGAAAACACACAGTGGTTAAATGTGTGTGAAAGGCCAAAGACTCCAAAGAACAGAAAAGCAATTTTAATGGCAACAGGGAGCTGAACCAGCCCCACCTTTTCTGTGACGTGCCCTAGGTTTCGCACAGTTGGGCGTTTCCAGTCTGAATTCTGAAGAAACTAACAGCACTAAAAAGGCAACTAAGTTTTTCAAGAGCTTGTCACAGCCCGCAGGCAGGATAAAAAGAGAGGGCATTCTCATAATGAAGTTTTTCCAGTCTCCTAAAAGCCTCATATCCCCAGATTTGACAACTCCAAATATTTTAAAAGTAATTCCAATTCCTTAATTAATTCCAAATTCTTAATTACATTTCTTAAAACTTAAATAATGGCTTGCAGACAGTACTAATTCCCACCTTGCAATGAACCAGGTTTATGTTAGCATGAGGAAATTCTAAATTAATGGTTAGTCTTAAAAGCCATTCAGTCTCGGAGTGTTATTAAGTAGGCTCTGGTATTAAGGACCGGAGAAAAGTTTTTTTTTCCAGAGATCTTGCATATTTTAAAATTACCTGCAGCTTCTGTCAAGGGTATTTCAAAGGATTCTTTCATAAATGGGTGACCAGACATACAGTACAGAGCTGGGATATTCCTGGGACAGAAGGGTTCGAATACCGGGCTGTAACGCTATCCCCATACCACACAATTTAGAGAGGAGAGTGGAATAGGGTTCAGGAAGTCCTTGAAACTGTTATGTTGACACTGTATTACTCCCTAAAACCTTTCTGAGACAGGAGGCCAAGCTTACTGGCATAGCAGAATTTATTATTTTCTTAGGAGAGACTGGGTACTGGCTTGTAGCTGGGAGGGGACTGGCCGTACGAGTTTAATCTGCGCAAATATTTCCAAGGGAAATCTTTTTGTCGTTTCACTCTTGAAAGTTGGCATTTATCTTTAGAAGTTGATCAAACATTTACTAAAGGAGATGGTTTGGGCACATCACCACAATCTGGAGTTTTGTGCCACAGTGAACAATCTCCCACTTAGCACTTATACAAACAGGATACATTTTTTGTGTTGAGAAAGTTATTTCCAATACTATGGATCAGTCAAGCCCCTTGGATTGACCAGACTTAGGAACAAAGCAAGGTTGTTTCGTTCACCCTTTCTGGAATGTGGATCATGTCATTCACTTTTTGAGGAAAAAAAAAACTTGGAAAAAATCTGCAGAAACTGTTTCGCTAGAATGGTGAAACGGCTTGATGAACCACACGATGATCCCTCCTAATGTGATCCCTCCAGGAAGCAGGGAGGCTCTAGCTCCAGGGCTGAGCGAGTCTGTAGGCCGCAGTTGTGTGCTGTGATGTGTTGTGTGTTTCGGGCAGAGCGCTTACCACCTCTCTTCTTCATGGCGGCCGACAGGGACTCCTCATCAACGCAACTCTCCTCTGGAGGGTCCGCCTGCGTGTCCCGGTTCTCCTTGCTCTCACTGCTGTGGTCTTTCTTCTCCAGCTTCTCCTTCTTCTTCTCCTTCTCCTTCCTGGCTGGAGGAGCCTTCTTGCCCTGAGTGTTGATGATGTTCTGGTGCTGCTAAAACACCAGCACAAGGATGATATTTTTTTTATTTCAGTGCCAGGGCAAGACACAGCAAAAGGAAAGCTGTTGACTGTAGGATTTTCTCTTACGTGCCACATTGTTGTCAACACGCTAGTGCAAAAGAAATAAAATTTAGACTCTGATGGCTGTCAGGTGACACTCCGCCCAGGACGCTTCACAATCGCCACAAGTGCAAAATCTGAAGCCGAGTGAGCTGTACAGACCCTGGAGTCAAAACACAATGTCAGAGAACTGCTGACATGTACAAGTGCAAAAATAAAATTAACCGATTTTTATTGAGTGGATTTCAACATTCAGTATTTTCAATAATGGAACAACTGCTGCATTACTCCATACCCATCCCTTGATTTTAAAACATCCGGCTTATGTTTTTTTTAACTATAACAAAGTATGCATCGTCATAACCTTTTTCTCAGTTCCAAAAGGTACTGAGAAATACCTCATATAGTGTGAGCACCTACAAAGTTCCTCAGTGCGTCTTCAGCGTTTAGATTTTTACATATTTATTTTTTTCTTTTCTTGCCAACTACTGTGTAAACAGGGTAATTATCATAAACAAGCAATAATGTTCTTACTTTGTTAGCATAAAAAATAAGTTATACTACAAGATTTTCTAAACTTCAGGAACAAACTGGCAAATTTTGCACGTAAAATAAGGGGAATTTCATTTTCTAAATTTTCCCCAAACAAACCTTTTTTCCAGGAATATACTACAGTTGTAAATCGAAGGATGTGTGTTTTCTGAAACCAAGAAAATACTAACTAGCAAACAGGTCTTTTAATATTGATATTGCTGATAGCTTAAAAATCATTTAAACTATGGCCTAATGTCCACAGCAATACCAAGTAAACTTTTTTTGTCCAAAGCTAAAACTGACAAAGTATCTGAATTTGTTTTGCGCCCACCAAAGAGTCAGAAGAGGGGTTTGGTTGCCAGTAGCATGTTGAAACTCACCCAAGGAAAGCATCATACTTCAGAACCCTTGCCTAAAAACCACTCCTTGAGGCAGGAAAACCTAACTCTGACCCAGCAGGGTCTCCCCAGAGCCTGAAGGGAGTAAGCAGAGATCAAGGCGCTAACAGGCTAGAAAGACTGTCCCAGCAACCTCCTTTACTAGGAGGCCGAATCCAGACACGGAGGTCATTTGTCTTCAAAACACAGAGATGAATTAAATCATGGAACAGAACTTTTCATATATTGTACCTTAGCTTATTCATCACCTTTTGATAGGTGAACTGCTCTCTTAAAGGGTTTGCTTTCCTGGGTAATCCTTGGAAACATAAAAACATGTGGGATATACACTGCGCTGGTGTGTTCCTACAGAAGGATATTAGAGCTTGCATATTTTTAGTGCAGAAATTATCCAATTATCTCCTGTGGACATTTTTCCTGATTCTTATTTTTCCTCAACCTACAAAATATTTTGAGCTGGCACTGTTTCTAAAACAAAAAGATCTTCGATTTGAATCGGCCCATAAAGTTATCTTTCCTCACCTTCACATAACTTACTTTGTTTATACTTGGGATAGACAAATACAGATTTGTATCATCTGCTGTTTAGGTACAAATAAAAAGGATCTTGTTAGAACAGAAATTATAACTTGACAACGAAACTTTGTCCCGAGGCTTTGTTTCGAATGAGTTAAGGGTGGGCAGTTATACAGCGCAAACCTGCTAAATAAACAGTAAGTGTGCTTATTTTTATCCCTTTCGGGAGGTGTAGTCACTTGCAGAAATAGCTGTCTGAAACATGACCTTGCTATCTGGATGGTAGGTCACCTACACTTCAGGCCTGCAGTAGCAGCAGCATCCAGCAGGGGGCAGGCAAGAAGAAAAACCATCTTCATCTGACCACCAGGGTGTGGGCAGGGAGACAGGAGCTCAGGCATTCTCCCACTGTTTATAGTACCAGCGTAGAACGCTGCACAGAGCGTCAAGCACGTGTTGCTTTTCAGAATGGGCAACAGGTGCACACAATCACATTCATAGCTGCCTGCCTACCTGTGACGAGCCGCACTCATGCAGAAGACGCCAAGCACAACTGTCCAGCGAGCAGCAATAGAATTCGCTAAGCTCACTTAGACACGCATGGCAGAGCAGTCACCCACCCCCTCACTCCATTGAAGACACCAGCCAGGAATTCGTTCAGAAAGACCCCGAGGGACAGGAGCTTCGTGAGCATCGCGGCTTTTTTAATCCGCTTAACTCACCTCTTTGTGGGCGATTTCCCCCGGGGTCGGCCAGTTGGTAATGTCACTGAAGTCACTTGACTGCACCCAAAAGCAAAAAAAAGAGGGTCAGGGAGCTCAAAATTCTGACTTAAAAAATAAAATATTCTCCAGGATATGTAATAGGACAATTCTTAAATATCTAAATGACGCAGACCTTGAAAGACACTAAATTACAGACAAGAAAATAAATATTTGTATAACTGGCCATCTAATTCGGTGTCCACAACCAGAACATCAAATGCACATACAGAAGTTAGTCTATAGTTTAGCAATGACTTAGCAGATTTTGACACCACATTCAACCATCATACATTTCATGCCATAGATTGGTTATTAGGTCTGAAGTCCAAATATTATTTTTTCCTTCTTTCTTTCCTCCTAACACCTTCTTGGAATATTGGACGTGTCAAAAGTAAATTACTCACTTTGCAGTAACACTTTACTGTGTTGTCAAAGTTTTGTTCTGCTAAATTAATCTCAACAATGTTTTGAAAATTATTACTGTCAAAGTGTTACCAGGTGAGTCTACCTTACTGGCCTTACTCGGAATGTAAGTTGAGTCCTATGGGCAAGATGACACTTAAATGTGACTAGAACATGACTTAAGCAAGGTTCTTCCAATGGATGTACAGCCGGCTCAGTGATACAAGGGCTTTTGGGTTAAGCTCAGGCAAGGTATCGGGAGATTCAGTGACTCCTATGACTTGTTCAGGAAGTGCAGAACTGGAAGCCTGCAGTGATGTCAGCGATAGACTCGCCTCTCCTCCAATCAGCCGCCAAGCTCCTGACAGGCTTTACGACGTCATTCTGGGCTTGGTATGTGCAACACGAATAGTTCTGACGGGCACAACAGAAGTGTCGTCAGCTGGCTTGTGCAGTAGCAGGCCTGTAGGTATAAGACTTGCTAAGGCAGCTCTAAATTTGATGTGTACAAAATAAAAAATAATTACAGATCTCCAATTCTTTTTTTGTTCTTATGGTAAAGTTACGTTTGTTTTTTTTTCCCCCCCTTAATCAAGTCTCCTCTGAAAAATACAGTATTATTACACATTGAAAGATACATTTGCAACATGAAGTGACAAATTCAAGGTCATACAACAGAAGGCTCCTTCCACATAAAAATAGCACTTCAATGTCAAAACTGGTGCTGCTGACTCTAAGAAACATCCACTCTCACAGCCCAGATCTGACACTGTCATAGTAGACCTGGCGCGACCCAGCACTCCCTGACAACAGCAAGCTCCCATGTAACAGCCAAGTCCCAGGGGCACATAAACCCCAAAAACTCCGGTGACATTCAGATGGGAACATACCACAAAACAAACACAAATAAAAGCTTCTCCAATCACCACTTTGTTTCTTAAATTGCCTCTATCATGGTTGCAGAGTCCTTGAACCCACATTCACAATGTGAGCCAAGCACTTTTTCCTTAAAAAAGGGAAAAGGTTGAAACAGATGTCAGATTTATTGTGCATATATCTATTTGCAGATATTTATACGTCACAGGTTCTCATACAGCACATCTGTACATATGTATTTTCTGCATGCATAAATACCAACCGATAGCGTTCAGTTATTTTTTCAGAAGAAGAGGTATTACTCCACAGACTTCTGCAGCCCTGGCTGGAATGTAATTATCTTGGTAAACTGTGTGGATTATTTGGGCTCCTCAAAACGAGCCTAAATTGCCAACTTACAAAGAGAAGCGGCCAACCTCAACACCAATCTGGGTTTGACATGGAATCATACTGACTAAGGTCTTCTGTCAAAGACTTACCTTATTGGACTTCCGACTCTTTGACTTTCCAGCCCGAATCACTTTGGTTGAGCCATGTTGCTCTAAAAAGACAAATAAAAAAAAGAGAGAAATTTAAAATAACTGGAAACCAACCTGCTCTCACCTGCTGAGAAACTCTCCAAAACTACATGAAAGAACAATGTTGCATTGTTTTCATTGACTAGCTCTTGGCATATTCTCATGAAAGCTGTATCTGAGGTTCAGCAGCAAAGTTCCATATAATATTCAAAGTGGTGTCTTAACACTAAGAAGTGTAAATAAGGTTTAAAAATTGACAAAGAGGAAAAATACAGAATTCAGACACAGCTTCTTCCTGGATCTGGTGAAGTATTCTCTTCTTTACCGTGTTGATACAATGCTTTTTTAGAAAGCTTTCTAATATGTAAAAGCAATATGTCAATAAATTAGTACTAAAGTACGAACAAAACCTTAAAGCCATTAAGCAGTTCATAACTCCTACAAGGGTAGAAAGATTAAAAATTTGTGCTGATATCCTCAATGTGCGACGTTCATGACTTAACAGCTTTAGATGAAGATGAGGTAGTCTATAACTGTGGTGAGGAATGTTCTTGGCAAATTTAAAAAACTCATTCATACAAAAAGGGAAAAAAATAAAGACAGACTGATGTATTCTATTCATTTAAAAAATCATATAAAAACGTAATTTTTCCTGTAACCTCAATGCTCCATCAAGAGAACAATGTCCTGAATTACAGTATCAGTCTACAATACTACTACAGTTTGTGAAGATTGTTTTCTAAAAGATTTAATGAACATGCGATGCACCTTCAGAAAAATGACTGAAAATTACTTTATGGGAAACTTTTGAATTATTCCCTTTTATGTTTGAAAAGGTTTTTTCATCCTTACACATCATAAACTAGCACGCTTTGTTCTCATTCAAGTACATCTTGATGGAAGGAATTAAGGAAATCTCTTTTAACAATATTACCTTATTATTGGCAAACCTTTGCATAAAGTAGTAGTGTACCTCCTTATTTTAGTCCAAATAACTATTTTTGTAATGTTGATGCTGATGTTTTGCCACTCCCTTGACAAGGAACATGCAGAGAATTGATAAATGTTCATTCCCACAATAAAACACTTTTATAATCCACTTCCGCAAGCCCATGTCTTTCCAGTAGCAAACAAAGAACGTTAAGATGTAAAATACAGAAATCCCAAAACTACAATGTTAGTAATCCTACGCAAAGGTTTGTAGATGGGCTTTAGTATACAGTTTCATCTTTTTCATATTTTGAATATCCCAGATAAAAGTAGCAGTTTCAGCGGTGTGTACTTCTTTAGGTATGTGTAATATTGCCTTATTACTTAGTAAGAAGCACAGTACCCTAGCGCAGTGTTTGTAACCTACAAGTCCATGTGTGACTTCATTCACAAATACTTTTAAGGTAAAAATAATGTGAGTATTGGGTATTTGTGCAAAACAAAACGGTATTGCACAATCTTAGCAGTGTTTATAATATTTTGCACAAACTCTCATCCACTCTTCATGGCAAGTTTAAGTTCTGCACCTTTGGCTCCACGCCACAGCTGAATGTGAATAAAACGTCAAGAATCCACTACTGCCTCCATCAGACAAAGGCATTTTACATGTAATTTCAGGAGTTGTTCATTTTTATCCAATTTGTTTACAAAAATGTCAACGCTTACAGCGATTCTGTAATGCTCAAGTTGCCTAATTGGCTCCGTATGAAGCACACTGCACAGAGTTAATAGAACTATGATTTTTGTCTATTAGAAAAAAGTGCAGCACAAATTAGGATCTCACGCTACACTGATGACTGTTGCTTTGTAGTTGATGCTTAAATACTTTAGAATGCTCCTGTATATCCATGCATAGTCTGTACTGGGTTGGTCTTCAAGATGTGGATTGATTAAAGTCCACATATTACTAAACTTCTGTATGGTTTCGGCCAGTTTGCTCTTTATATACTTTGCTATCATGTATTTTAAGCATGGTGATGTATATGTTTATAAAGGAGACGGGAGTATTGTGGAGGAAGAAGGGAGTTTAAATTTGTTGCCTCTTGTACCCAGGTCTGCGTCCCATTGGATTCCACTATACATCAGGGTGCATTATCCTGATGTTGGAAGAGAGAAACCACTTTAGTGGTTCAGGGAGAGAGGCACTGGTACTCCACTAACGCCAGTCACTGGAGGCCAGGCTCCTGACAGCAGACAGCCATGTGAGAGAACATGGCTGCCTAGGGGTGGGGCGCATCACCTGGGCACCAGAGCTGGACTGGGAGCAGGCAGACTTCCAGGGGGTCTGCAAGTGGCCCGGGGAGGCTGAAGACTTGCTGTGGTGCCATCAGAGTACACCATACGAGGTGAACCTGGACCGACTGACTGAGCTCCTCAGAAAAGATCAAGGCTGCCTGTAAATGAAACTAGAATCCACACCTAGGTCACTGAGATATTCGGTTAGATGGGGACCTTGTGATGCAGAACCTCAGCAAGAGCTGCAAGGTGGGTCTAAACCATGCTTGGTGCATGAGCAACAGCCAGCACACAGCAGAGTACTAGATGAAGGGCAACCCACGCCACTGGCGATACAGCTGCCCCGTGGGGAGGGGTCAAGACATGAAGACCATGATCAGCTCCAGCTGTGGGAGCTAAACTGTCCAGTCAGGTGAAGAAAGAGCTGGATACCTCCCAAAAGATGGGGACCACAAGTGTTATGTGATCGTCAGGAACTGCACTGAACTTCTGGGCCTGGACCGGACTTTGTGTGGAAACCTTGGGAGTAAACTTCTAGGATTAAGGACAGCGGTCCAGGACTGCTGATTTTATCCCCACAGAAAGAACGCTGGTTCCTTGCAGAAGGCAAATGAAAGAACTACAAAGTCTTAGTGCCACTCACAATTTGCGAAGACTAAGGACACGTAGCTCCAGAAACAATATGCTACTTCATATTGTGAGCACGTAGCTTATTGCTTAAAATCTTTTAAGGTAGCTTAAAAAGCTGTTATGTCGATGTGCCACTGCCTTTTCATAATGAATGAAACGGGGATAACTGAACAAACCGCTGGAACACCACTGTGTCGCACCAGAAAGGGAGTGTCTCTGGTGGGTTTGGGGCGTGCACTTTATCGCTGCATTAAACTTGGTTAACCTGATAAGGCCTACTGGCAACTTAATAAAACTGAGGGGCGTTACTGCCATGTCTTTAAACTGATACTGCACTGCTGCTGCTTTCTCCACACTATTTGATAATCAGCAACATCCCATATCTAATGCTCAGACAGGGCTGTAACCCTATCCTCAAGGCGAGAGAAAGACAGTATTACTAGCATGTTATGGAGCTATAAACTAATGTTATTCTCAACAAACGTAGAGGATAGAAAATGTCACCAAACAGGGTGAACAGTTTTCATTCGGTCTTCCTTCTATACTTTAGTTTGAAACTGTAATATGCACCATTAAAATGTCATCCACTTCTTAATTAGATACACAGATATTTGATGACAACAAAGCTCAAGTGCTCCTCAGTGACTCCACAGGTAAAACTATAGCTTAAGAGGTGGCGTGATGCAGCCCTCTACAGTTTGAGCCCGTGTCGTATCACATGACCGGGATTCCCCATGTGGTAGTACATGACAGGATGACATTGCTTGGTTCTGGCTCTCTTGACACTCAGAGTAACAGTGATGCCCTGTAACATCCAGGTTCATCACATACCTGCAGGCACATGAGTGAGCAAATCTCCTCTCCTCCAGTCAGTGTTGGACCTCCTGTTTGTCATTGTAGAGCCTGTACCATATCAAGTGATGAATGAATGGTTTATTGGGTGGAAGGGTGAAAGCAAGGCTGAAAGAGCTTGTGTGTTCCATCACTCTCCCTTTGTGGACACAGGAGTGGTTTACTGTGAGTCAAGAAATACAAATTGCGGATCCAAATTGGGTGAGTGTATAAAAAAACAAAATGGATTTTCTTCCACTTCATACAAACTCTCCAATACATATCTAACAATAAGCCCCAACATTTGTAGGGAGTAGTTACAAATCTAAACATTGCTTCTCCCATATTTTACTCTCTCACTTTAAGAAAAGAAACTGATTTCCGTACATCAACAAAGACAGCATTAACAAATAAATAAAAACCTATGTATATTCAATGATGCTGCAGTAGAGAAATATTCCTACAAATAAGAAATGGTTAACTCTAAATTTGAAAAAAGCTCCTATAGCATGATGTTGCATTTCAGCAGCAGACGGACACACACAGAAGCAAACGGCAACTTCTTCTGGTGTGAAAATAGGATTGGAAGGGGAATACAAGCTGAACAATTCCCAGATAGAGAAGGGATTTTCAGCTACAGAGTCTGAGAAGCAATGAGTACATCTGGGTGAGAATTCTCTATTTTGACAAAGCTTCCCTGAAATCAATTCAGTGCCTCTGGCGAAAACAATTTGCACAGAACCATAACAGATGCTGGGACAGATTACCTAAACTAAATATGTACTTATCTGCTGACAAAATCCAACACTTTAAAAGAGGCTGAAGGGCACAGTAGAATGAGACATTAAAAATGAATGATGTCAGTGGAGTGATTTTGCATACTACTAACCAATAAGCTTTCGGTATTCCTCTACAAGCAAAAGTCCTAGCATAGCCACGTTTGGCACAGTGCTTTATCTTCTTGCACCTTTAAGGACATGCACCCGATTCCTTGGTTGCTCAATAAACATTTTCTAAAGCATCGTTGCTTTTTCCAATCATCTACTAAGGCGCAGATTAGTCTCACTCAGGTTAACACGTCACCACCTGTACTTAAACTACACCTTGACAATATGCTGTCAGAAATCTATAAGCATTTCAAAAAACACTTTAGGCAGATGGTATTAAGATCTTGAGGCTATAGCTACAAGCATCAAGGAGGAAGATCAGACTGATGTTTAGTGTTACTGTCACAATTCTTAGCACACATCCATTAGTGTGGTACAGGGACTTAGCGACTAGTCTGAATTTAACAGTATAACAATAGTGATGATGTCTTCGACATTCTATGTCATCC